TTGCGACAGTTGTTTCGGGTAAGCATACGTCACTGACGCACAGAAAGAGGAGAGCAAAAGAGGAGAGGAGAGCAAGAAGCGAGTGGTCAAGAGAGGACAGGTGGGCTGCGGAGAGAGAGCAAGAACCAAGTGAGTCAATGTGGATGGATGTCGGGCGAGTGCAGGCGATGCTACGGACAATGTGAGGTGGGCCAAAGCAAAGCTCAGGACTTTTCACAAAAAAAATGCCGTCACTCACATTGCAGTGCAAACAAACGGGCAGCACGTGCTGTGATTGTGATGTAAGGGGTAGGAAAGGAACATAACATACCCTGCGGTTGAACGTGCCAAAGTCAGAAGCGCAGTCAGCGCATTTAGGCACCTCCTCATCAGGCACCTGGTGGGCGATGATTCATGTGCGCAGAGAGGAGAGCCATGGGGAAAGAACAATTAGGATGGCTTCTGAAGCGGCTTAGCAGTCAACGCATTGCGGAACCTCCCCGCCAGGAACCTGCCAAGAGAGGGATAGGGAAAGAACGATTAAGATGGGCATGTTCATACGGGAAGAGCCGTGGCAGTCAGCGCATTGCGGCACCTCCCCGCCTGGCCTGGCACGCACCTGGTGGAGAACGAGGGATGGAGCGTGGCACGCACCTTGTGAGCGATTTTTGATATTCTTCAAAATCGAGAACGAGGGATGGAGGAGAGTGAGAGAGATGTAGAGACAGAGGGTGCGGAAGGACAGGGGGAGCACGAGATGAGAGAGCGATGGCATGGCGATGGCGTACGGGGAACAAATGGCAATTGATACATGCCACCCATCCCCTTCCACCCCTCACCCTCACCCCGCCCCCCCTCCCCCACCCACCCACCCACCCACCCACCTATGCACGCACCCAGTGCACGCGCTCGTCAGCAGCGGGCAGGCCCCACACTACCCCACCCACCCCACCCCACCGCACCCCAGCCCAACCCAGCCCAGCCCAGCCCAGCCCAGCCCAGCCCAGCCCAGCCCAGCAAACTCCCACGCCCACTCCGTGCACACCCACCCACCCATGCACGCACCCAGTGCACGCGCTCGTCGGCAGCGGGCAGGCGCGGGCGAGTGAGCCACCCCATCACGGACGGGACAGCGCCCGCACCGGCGGCGCCCCCTGCAGCAGCAGCAGCGGAGGCGGCAGCAGCAGTGGCGGCGGAGGGCGCGGAGGAGGGCTTTGATGCAGAGGCGGGCTTGTCTGGTGCTGGCTTGTCCCGCCCCACCATCTCAAACACCTGGTGGGGGGGAGAACGGGAGGAGGGGAATGACGAGGCCGAAACCGGGGCGGAAAGGAGGGGAGAGGAAGGGAGAGGGGAAGAGAGGAGGAGAGAGAGGGGAAGGGTGCGAGAGCGCAAGGGGAGGGGGGAAGAAACGCCGGGGAATCGGCGAAGTTGTGAGCGGCAGAGTGGAGAATCTGGTGTGGAGTAGAATGGGGAATCTCCTTTGAGATTTACATGGGATCTGGCACAGCTCCAGAGATTTGAGGCGCATCAAAGGACGGTGACAGGCAGCAGTGAGCATGAGCATGAGCATGAGCATGGCAGCAGAGCCATCATGTCATCCCTGCCGTGAGTAGCACATCAGTTTCAGAGCGACAAAGAGCATGCCAAAGCTCCCCTAGCCCCCACACCCACTCCCATCCCCACACCCACTCCCATCCCCACGCCCACTCCCATTCCCACCCCCACCCCAGCCCCACCCTGTCTCTCCTCCCGCGGCCCGCCCCCCACGCACATAAAACGAGCACGAGCGCGAGGGCGGGGGAGCGCACCTGGATGCAGGCGGCGGTGAGCGTGTCGAGCAGCAGCGACGTGGTGCGGTCGTTGGAGCGCAGGCGCACGGGGCGCTGACTCACGTCCACCGCCGTGCGCACCCAGAACGTGAACACGCCTGGCTCCTTCACCTGGCAAAAGGGGGAGATTGGAAGGGGTGCGGGTCGCAGGGAGGAAAATGGTTTGTGGGGGAAAGGGGGAGGGGAGAGGTTAACAGCACTCACTCTACCCCTGCTGTGAAAGAGAGCACTCGAACACCGGGGTCCAAAGGAGAGCGCAAACGGGGAAGGAGGGGGGCGGGAGGGGGAGGGAGGGGAGAGAGGAGTCGGGAAAGGAGTGCGCGGCGAAGGCAGAAAAGCGGAGGAGGAAGAGTACGGCCACGGGGAAGAGAGGCAGCGGAACGCATGACGCGCACGCTACCACGCGAGCAAACACCCGGAGCGAGCGTGCAGGCGCATGCGACGCGCGTGAGTGGGAAATAGCGGCGGCGGCGGCGTACCTCCCAGCTGGTGATGTTCTCGAGCGGGTAGATACGCATGAGGCGCCCGCTGCCCGGCTCCTGCAGTCGCATGCCATCCAACCCGATCTGCGCGGGGTGGTGGTGGTGTGGGGAGGGGGGGGGGGGGGGGGGGGGGGGGGGGGGGGGTAAGGGAGGATAAGCGCGGATGCGATAGGGGGAGGTGGAGATGAAAGGAAGCGGCGGATGAGAGAGGGGGAGGCGGGGGTGAGAGACGGGCTTCATGTCTCAACGGAGAAGGAGAAAATGAAAAAAAGGAAAGCGAAAAGAAGAAGAACGGGGAAACGCACGAGCGACGGACGGACCGGAAAGCGCGGGCGACCTCAGGGGAAACGTAAAGACACGTGTCCACGTAGACGCGACAGCGACGGCGCAAGGGACCACCAGACACTCGGTAACGATGCGACGAAGTCAGCGCCAGCCCCACAGACAGACCAGAAGTAGAAGCGGAGAATTTTCAAGAATTACTCAAATCCAGAGTCAGCTTACATGGGCCTCCAGCGAAAAAGGAGGAACCATCATCGACGCCATCGGTTCAGCAAGATCAAGCGACGAGGGGGTCGGCTCCGTCCCAGCGCACATCTCTGCAAGTGCGGTCAGTTGCCGTACCTTACAGACCACCTGCGGCGGCGACGAGGACGATTCCGGCTCTGGACGCAGCGAAATTGGTCGACTCACAAAGTTGCCTTACCTTACAGACCACCTGCGAGGGCGACGAGGAAGACCCCGGTTCCGGCAGGAGAGTCACTGCGAAGCTCTGCACGCCGTCCTTCCCCACCACCACCTGCGCCTCACCGCCTCCCCGCGAACCGGCAGAAAGCGACGGCATCTGAATATCAACGAGGGGACTGCTAATTGGCCCGCTCCCTCCCGCGCTGTTCCCGATGTGTCCGCTGCCGCCTCCGCCTCCGAAGCCCTGCGGTGCGTCGCCCCAGTACGCTCCGCTGCCGGTTCCTCTCGCGCCGTACGGCTCCGCGCCGCCCGCATCGTACGCTACCACGTCGACGCTGGTCTCGTAGTCGTCCACGTGGCTTTGCGGGAATTGCGGGGGAGGCGCTGGCGGCGCGGAAAACTGCGGATACGCGGAGTTTTGTTGGGAGTAAGCGGCGGGCGGTTGCGGTTGTTGCATGTACATGGGCGCGCTGTTATCCGCGGTTTGCGCAGGCGGTTGCGGATACGACGAGTAATTCGGCGTGTAGGAAGGAGTGTACTGAGTGGATGGCGGCATGGGAGGGACTTCGGGGTACGACACCGCAAGCGGCGGGGAACGCCAATCCGACTGCATGACTATGGATTAGGACTACGACTAGGACTGAACGGAGGGCGACCTAGGAAACTTGAAAGCTAAGGACAAATAGTCCAGGACACCAGTAAGGGTCGAACAAGAGATTCGCAAAAGAGGCTGTTCGTTGCGCCAAACGTGTACACGGAGGCAGAGACCAAGGTGAAGGAAAGCAGGGTGTGGTGTGGTAGGAGAGAACAGTAGCAGGAGCAGCAGCAGCACAAACAGCAGAAATGGCGTTTTGAAGAGCAGAAGCAAGAAAACTGACAGAAATGATCTTGATTCGAGATTATGAATCTGTTAGGTTGGGTTAGGTTCGGTGGAAAAGAATCCCTCCCACTAGAAGGGAGAAACTCGGAAGACTCGGTGGAAATGGCTGGGAGGGAGGAACGAAACGGCATGGGGGGAAGGCGGAAGGCTTTTGGGGGACAAGCGGGCCATGACATGATGACATGACTCATGTGATGTGACGTGAGCTGCAAGGAATCGCCCGGAGTCACAGATGGCGGAAGCTGGGCTGCTTGGCATAGCATGACATGACGGCGCGCAAGAGCGGGTGGGCGCGGACGGCTGGAGGCAGGGACTGCGCGAACATATCGAGGGCCAGAGCGGTATGCTGGGCGGAAATGAAAAGCGCGGGAGCTGCGGTTGGGGAAATATGAAAGGTCGCAAGTTGGGCCAACATCATAGACATGCAAATTAGTCTGGTAACCCTATTCGATGGTATGCAAAACCGTCGATACCCCAGTTCTGCTTCGCAAATTTGTCTGGTAGCGCCACTCAAAACACTGTGTAACAGCTGACACAGCACAAAAAGGGTGCAATGGGTGCAACAATCGAATGCGTTTTCGATTTCGTTTCATTCGTTTTTTAACGCGCTCTGTTCGGCGCCTGACAAATATTCCTGCGGGCAACTATTTTGCACGATAATTCTAACAGAAAAATCCGTTAGAATGGAAGTTAATGGGGTTTTATGTTTTTTGCCCCCATCAGAAATTGCAAATACGAAATAGGACACGTGTCGAGAACTTCGCCCCGCAGGACCAGTTTTGAACATACTTTGGGCCTCGCGTGAGCAAAATTCTAGAAAGTGGTACTTTTTGAGTAAACCTGGGGCTAAATTTGAGAGAAATCTGAAAGTATGGATCTGGAATATAGTTTCCCTTTCCCAATCGACACATTTCTGCCGAAGAGTTCCAAACCACGGATGTCTCAAAACGATCCTGGCACACGAAATCACTTTCGTTTTCAAGAGCATTTGCCGTAATTCGCTGTCCGCAAGCACGCACATCGTACACTCTGGTTCTCTTCCTTCGCTATGACATACACTTTCTCAGTCGCCTGACTGCTCTCGCGTAGTTTAACTAAGTGTTTTGGGAATAATCTTCGTCGGGTGTGATGGCCAGCGATGGCATGGTGGTGGGATCGGGCGCGTCGGCAGGGCGGGAAGAAGGCGACAGTCTCACCGCGGCGACGACTGCGTTGACTTTCCACGACTTTCTGGAACGGATGAAGCAGCCCGCCGCGGCAGATCTCGTCAGACCCATTCGCAAGTGAGGCAGGCGGGAAAGGGTTCCGTCAGTCAGGCAGTCAGTCAGTCAGTCAGTCAGTCAGGCAGTCAGGCAGTCAGTCAGTCAGTCAGTCAGTCAGTCAGTCAGTCAGTCAGTCAGTCAGTCAGTCAGTCAGTCAGTCAGTCAGTCAGTCAGTCAGTGAGGCAGAGCCGGATTGCTGCAGTGCGAACATTGGAGATTCCTCTCTTATGCCACCTCGCCTCATCGTCCCTTCCCAACCCCTTTCCGTTCCCCATCCCCATCTCATTTCCCTCGTTTCCCCCAACTTCTCTCCTCCTCCTCTGACCGCCCGCACTCTTATGATAGCATTTCTGAGCAAGGAGCCAATGCCGGCTTCTGAGTCGACTCACAAGTCTCCCACCCCCCGCTCACTGCCCGCCCTCTTGAGTTTCATCATGGCGTTCATGAGCAAGGAGCCGGAGTCGACTTAATAGTCTCACTGCACCCCTCCACTCCCCCCCGTTCTCCTTCCCCCCGCCCCCCTCCGCCCTTCCCCCTCCCCCCTCCCCCCTCCCCCCTCCCACCTTCACCTTTTCCCCCAGTTTCATCATGGCTCTACTGGAGCTTGAGCCCCCTTCTGGGTCGACTAGTTGCCCCGCACCCCTCCACTTCCCCCTCCCCCCATCCAACCCCTTTCCTTCCCGCCCCGCCCCCCTCCCCAGTGTCATGATGGCGTGCATGAGCAAGGAGGCGGAGCCAGCACGCGAGTCAGCTCAGAACTCTCCCTCACCTCTCCATCCTTCCTTCCCTTCCGCCTTCCCGCCCCCCCCCCCCCCCGCTCTCAGTTTCATGATGGCGTTCATGAGCAAGGAGACGGAGCCGGAGCGCGGCAGCTGAGTCGACTCAACAGTCTTCCCCCGCCCCTCCTTCGCTCCCTCCGCCCCTCCTCAACCATCGTCCCCCCCTTCCCCCACCCACCCCCCCTCCCCCCTCAGTTTCATGATGGCGTTTATGAGCAAGGAGCCCGAGCCGGAGCGAGACAGTGCGAGCGTGCAGGCGTTCTACCGCAGCATCGAGGCCGCCTTCCGCGCGCACCCGCTCTGGCAGGCCGCCTCGCCCGACGAACTCGAGTGCTCGGGGGAGGTGCGCTGGGAGTGGGGGGGAGAGCGGAAAAGCTGGAGGAGGGGGGAGAGGGAGGCAGAGGGTTGACGGGGAGGGGTGAGTGAGGAAGGAGGAAAGGGGGAGCGGTCGAAGCAGGAAGGGAAAGGGGAAAAAGGGAAGGGATGAAGAGGGCCAGGGGGAAGGGATGAAGAGGGGCAGGGGGAAGGGATGAAGAGGGCCAGGGGGAAGGGATGAAGAGGGCCAGGGGGAAGGGATGAAGAGGGGCAGGGGGAAGGGATGAAGAGGGGCAGGGGGAAGGGGAAGGGTAGGAGGAGAAGGGAGAGGGTGGAGGTGGTGTGGGTTAGAGAGCAGGGACGAAGGGGCGCATGGGGAGGCGCTTGAATGGGCGCACGAGGGGAACGAGGGGGAAAGCAAGTGAGGCGGTGTGGTGGGCGGAGTGGTGGGCGTAGGAGGTGGGTGGAGTGGTGACAATGCTCGTGCATGTGTGTGTTTGTACGTGTGTGCGGGTCCAAGTGGGTGTGGTGTGGGTGTGGGTGGGTGGGGTGGGGGTAGGGGTGGTTCCTTTCCTGCTTCTCCCCTGTCCCTCTGAAAAACGAACCAGCCCTGTTTACCTCCGGGGATGAGGAGGAGGAGGTGGAGAAAAAGCAAATCCCTTCCCAGGCTGAAGAAAGAACAAATCTCCGCTCCAGGCTCCCAGGCCTGATATCGTCCTGAGGGCCAAGTGTTCTTGCTGGTGCCCCTTCACCTTTATTCAACCCCTCTCCCTCCTTCCCCTCGTTCCACCTTCTTCCCCCCCTCCCCAGGCCCTAGAGAAGAGAAGCACCGGATGACGAAGCTGCTGCAGGTGCCCCGTCACCGCTAGTCAGCCCCCACCTCCTCCTCTTCCCCTCTCTCCCCACTCGTCCCACCCCACCCCACTCCACTCCACTCCACCCAACCCCTCCTCCCCAGGCCCTATGTAAGTATCTGATGGCAAAGCTCTTCCCGCGCGCGTGTTTGCCCCTGAGGAGGAGGAGGTGGAGAGGGACCGGGTCCGCCTGGTGCCACTCTCCCCGCTAATCACCTCCCTCCCCCCTCCCCGTCTTTCCCCACTCTCGTACCCCCCCTCCCCATCCATCAACAGGCACTGGAGAAGTACCTAATGACGAAGCTGTTCCCGCGCGCGTTTGCACCCGAGGAGGAGGAGGAGGAGGTGGAGAGGGACCGGCTGCTGCCTCTTCCCCTCTTAATCAGCGCACCCCACCCCTCCCCTTCTTCCCCCCCTCCCCCCTCGCCCCCGCCCCCTTCCCCCCTCCCCCCTCACCCCCGCCCCCTTCCCCCCTCCCCCCTCGCCCCCGCCCCCTTCCCCCCTCCAGGCCCTAGAGAAGTATCTAATGACGAAGCTGTTCCCCCGTGCGTTCGCCCCCGAGGAGGAGGAGGTGGAGAGGGACCGGCGCCTGACCACGCGCATAGCGGCGCTGCAGACGTTCCTGCAGCCGCGCCACCTCGACGTGCCCGACTCGCTGCTCAACGATGCCTCGCTGCTGGTAAGCGCGCGCGCGCGTGTGTGTGCCTGTGTGTCTGTGTGTGTGTGTCTGTGTATGTGTGTACCATCCCTCTCTATCCCTCTCTGCTGGTGCGCACGTGCTCTGTCTATCTCTTCCTGTGTTTGGCATGCATGACTGGGGCAGTGGGCAGGGAGCAGGGAGCAGGGGGCAGTGCGTTGGTGGGTAGAGAGGGAGGGATTGGTGGCGACGCGATGTGAGCACACAATGAGCAACCTTCCCCTTCTCATCCCCCCTGGCTCATCTCAACATCGTCCTTATCTCCCTTGCACCCTGTGATCGTGCTTCCCCCGCTCCCCCTGCCCCACCTCTTCCCCAACCCAACCCAACAACCCATTCCGTCTCCCCTTTCACCAGCTAGCAGAGAAGGACCTTGGGAAGCTGGGGTCGTTCAACACCTTGAGGGGCACTCAGGTGTGCGTGCTCATCTGCCTGTTTTGAGGTGGCTTTTGAGTCGACTCAAAGGTCACCTTAGGGACAAGCGGGGGTGTGCGTTGCCCTGTGCTCAACTGCCCCTGTTTCTCATCCTCCCATACCGACTTCTTCCACCTTGCCCTCTTCCTCCACCCCACCCGCACCCCCACCTCCCCTCCCCATTCCACCAGCTACCGGAGAAGGACCTGCAGAAGCTGGGGTCGTTCAAGGCACCAGGGGACAAGCTGGTGTGTGTGCTCAACTGCTGCCGCGTCATCAACAACATCCTCCTCAGCGCCTCCATCACCGCTGCTGCCGCTGCTGCCGCTGGGGCTGCTGGGGCTGACCCTCCTGTGCACATCTCTCATCCTTTCTCCCCCCCGTAACCCCTCCTACCCCCCGCTCCCCCTATCCCCCTTTCCCCCCTCCCACTCTCCACCCCCCCGCCCTCCCCCTCCCAGCTAGCGGAGAAGGACCTACAGAAACTTGGTTCGTTCAAAGCGCCAAGAGACAAGCTGGTGTGTGTGCTCAACTGCTGCCGCGTCATCAACAACATCCTCCTCAACGCCTCCATCACCGCCGCCGCCGCTGCTGCCGCTGCCACAGGCGCGGGCACGGGCGCAGGGGAGGCGGGCGGAAAGGCAGGTGGGAAGCCGCCAGGAGCAGATGACTTCCTGCCCGTGCTCATCTACGTGGTGGTGAAGGTGAGGGGGGGGATGAAGGGGTGGGGGGATGAAAGGTGGGGGGGCGGATGGAAGGTGAGGGGGATGGAAGGTGAGGGGGATGAAAGTGGGGGGGGATGAAAGTGGGGGGGGGGATGAAAGTGGGGGGGCATGAAAGTGGGGGGGGGGGGATGAAAGTGGGGGGGGATGAAAGTGGGGGGGGGTGAAAGTGGGAGGGGGGGATGAAAGTGGGGGGGGGATGAAAGTGGGGGGGGGGATGAAAGTGGGGGGTGATGAAAGTGGGGGGGGGGATGAAAGTGGGGGGGGATGAAAGTGGGGGGGGGGATGAAAGTGGGGGGGGATGAAAGTGGGGGGGGGATGAAAGTGGGGGGGGATGAAAGTGGGGGGGGGGGATGAAAGTGGGGGGGGATGAAAGTGGGGGGGGATGAAAGTGGGGGGGGGGATGAAAGTGGGGGGGGATGAAAGTGGGGGGGGGATGAAAGTGGGGGGGGATGAAAGTGGGGGGGGATGAAAGTGGGGGGGGATGAAAGTGGGGGGGGGGATGAAAGTGGGGGGGGGATGAAAGTGGGGGGGGGGGGATGAAAGTGGGGGGGGATGAAAGTGGGGGGGGATGAAAGTGGGAGGGGGGGATGAAAGTGGGGGGGGGATGAAAGTGGGGGGGGGGATGAAAGTGGGGGGTGATGAAAGTGGGGGGGGGGATGAAAGTGGGGGGGGATGAAAGTGGGGGGGGGGATGAAAGTGGGGGGGGATGAAAGTGGGGGGGGGGGATGAAAGTGGGGGGGGATGAACGTGGGGGGGGATGAAAGTGGGAGGGGGGAAGAAAGTGGGGGGGGGATGAAAGTGGGGGGGGGGATGAAAGTGGGGGGTGATGAAAGTGGGGGCGGGGATGAAAGTGGGGGGGGATGAAAGTGGGGGGGGGGATGAAAGTGGGGGGGGATGAAAGGGGGGGGGGATGAAAGTGGGGGGGGGGGATGAAAGTGGGGGGGGGGGATGAAAGTGGGGGGGGATGAAAGTGGGGGGGGATGAAAGTGGGGGGGGGGGATGAAAGTGGGGGGGGGATGAAAGCGGGGGGGGGGATGAAAGTGGGGGGGGGATGAAAGTGGGGGGGGGATGAAAATGGGGGGGGGATGAAAGCTGAGTGGAGAAAAACGCAAAATGCGTTTTGCGTTCTGCGTTCGAACGCAAAACGCAGAACGCACCAGAAAACGCAGAACGCATGGGAGAAAAAAATTCGGGCAGCCCGAAATTTTTTTTTTTCCAGCTTACGAAATTGACATACGCGATTTTAGCGCGAATGTCAATTTCGTAAAAAAAGAACCCCTTCCAACCCAAATCGACCCCACTAAATCTATCCCACACCAAAATTCCCAAGTTTGGGTTCAAAATTGAACCCAAACGCTTTGCACCGCACACCATCTACAAACTCCAACCATTGTGGCCAGCCACCACAATGGTTAAGGAGGTGAAAGTGACTCATTTGTGCTTCTCCTTTCTAGATCCCAAATCCTCTTTCAAAAACCCTTGTGGGTTTAGCAAGCTCCTCTTCTAAGTTATGGCTTCCACGTCTAGGGATTCCACCGGTGATTCCAACCGTAGTCCTCCTCCTGTCGTTGACGTTAGCACCACGGCCGCCGATAAGGAGGAGAATGCGGATACATCCGATAAGTCTAAGCACCTTGTCTATTTGCATTACACCTTTTTCACTGATCCAAACAAGAAGGTTAAGCAAGCAAAATGCGACTTTTGCGGCAAGACGTTTAGCTTTACTAGTGTCCGTTGCGCCTCTCACCTCGCCATATGGAACAACCCCAATACTCGCCGCGAGGTTGGCCCGATTTGTAAGAACGTACCCAAGCGCGTTTCCGATGAGATTCGCGCGTTGATGGAGGGGAAAATTGCGGCGCGCAAGGACAAGGAGAAGGCGACGGAGGCGGCGATCACTTTAGTGAGCGGCAAGAGCGCGGCGGGGCCAAAGCCGAAACGGGGGCGCATGGAAGACTTCTACGAAGACGAGGGTCTCTCGTCCAAGCGGAATGCCGACGAGGCGATATGCCTCTATTTCGCGGGGATGCGCGTGGCGGAACGGCAGTGCGAGAACCCCCTCTTCCTCAACATGCTTCGCGCCGTCGCCGCCGCCGGCCCCAACTACGTCCCTCCCAAGCGTGACTACGTCGGCGGCGCCGGACTCCTGGCGTGCAAGAAGAGGATCGAGAAGGGATTGGCGCCGATTACCGACACGTGGGCGAAGACGGGCGTGACGATTGCCAGCGATATGATGACGGACAAGAGCGGGCGCGCGCAGATGAACATCCTGCTCCTCAACGACGCCGGTGCTGTTTTCGTCGAGGCGGTTGACTGCAAAATGGAGCTGAAGAGCGGAGCGTTCGTGGCCGGCATCTTGCGCCCGATCATAAAGAAGATCGGCCCGGAGAATGTCGTCGCGCTGTGCATGGACGGTGGCAGCAACTACGCGTCGGCATGCAAGTTGCTGCAGGCGGAGTGGCCGCACATCGAGCATGTGCCATGCGCCACGCACGTGCTCGACTTGCTGATGGAGGACATCGGCAAGATGGAGTGGGCGCGAGACGTTGTCGGCCGAGCGGGCGACATGATCACGTTTCTGCGCATCCACCTGTGGACGCGCGCTTTTCTGCGGAGTCCGGAACTGCACGGCGGGAAGGCGCTGCAGCCGCTGCGACCGGCGGGCACGCGTTTTGGGACGCAGTACATTGCCGTGTCTCGTCTTTGCCAGCTTCGCTCGCAGCTGCTGCAGATGGTGGTGCATGACGGCTGGTAGAAGATGAAGGGGAAGAAGGGGAAGAAGGGGACGAAGGAGAAGAAGACGACGGCGTGCGACTTCGAGGCGTGGGTGATGGATGTGGATTGGTGGGAGAAAGCGGGGTTTTTTGTGCAGCTGATGGAGGTGCCATTCATGGTGATGAGGAGGACGGACTCGCATGCGAAGGGGATGATGGGTGCTATCTATGACATCATGTTGCAGCTGACGGAGGACATGGCGAAGCTGCTGGATGGTGATATGTGTAAGCTGAAGGAGGAGGAGAAGGAGGAGGTGCAGGAGCACTTGAGGCGCCGCTGGGACGAGAGTTTGGCGTGCCCCTTTCACGTGGTTGGCCGGATCCTTAATCCGGCCAACCAGCTGGAGGAGATTTTCCTGCGTGACGTCGAGTGCACCAAGGTGATGAGGGAGTGGCTCGCCCGCTCTAAGGTCTTTGTCGACAAGTTCTGGAAGGGGAAGAAGGGGCCGCACAAGAGTTTGCAGGAGGGGATGTTGGCGTACATCAACGCCACTGGGAGCTTCGGATCGGAGGAGGCAAGATTGGGGCGTGAGGAGCTGCAGGATGGGAAGGGGGACGTGCTGGCGTGGTGGCAGTATCACGGCTGGGAGTATGCAGACCTGGCTGGACTTGCGCGCCGTGCGCTGTCCCAGCCAGTTTCCGCCGCCCCGTGCGAGCGGAACTGGTCTGTTTGGGACGGCGTGCACACGGCGCGCAGGAACAGGCTTAGGTCGGAGAAGGTCCGCGACCTTGTGTACGTTGCGCACAACTGGACAGTTGTGCACAACCATCACAAGGGAGCGGCTGTTGCAGGGCCTAGTGGGGTGGGAAGGAAGGGGGGGATCGTGGAGGGGAACATTCCCACCCCCCCCCTCCCCGAGGGCTACAAGTTGGAGGAGGATGGGGAGGTGGAGGAGGATGAGGACGCGGTCTGTGTGGATGAGCACGCGCACCAGGAGGATGGCGAGGAGGAGGAGGGCGAGGAGGAGGAGGGCGGGGAGGACGAAGATTAGAGGAGATGGCGTGGACCGTGGTAGCTTGCTCTAGTTTGCTTATTGCTAGACTAGAGTGACTAACTAATCGTGACTATGGGAACCTAATGTTGGGGGGGGAAATTTTTTGTGTCGGAAAAAATCTCCTCAAATCTATGCTATGTGCTTCTTCCCCCCCTTCCCTTGCACCATGAGAGGTTTTTTTGCCTGCCCGTACCTTTTTTTTACCCTGCCCGGGCTTGCGTTTTTTTTTGCGTTTTTTTGAATCCTGGAAATGCGTTCTGCATTTAAAACGCTGCGTTTGAACGCAAGCGTTTAAAACGTCGAACGCGTTTTTCTCCACCCAGGATGAAAGTGGGGGGGGATGAAAGTGGGGGGGGGGATGAAAGTGGGGGGGGATGAAAGTGGGGGGGGGATGAAAGTGGGGGGGAATGAAAGTGGGGGGGGGGGATGAAAGTGGGGGGGGGGGATGAAAGTGGGGGGGGGATGAAAGTGGGGGGGGATGAAAGTGGGGGGGGATGAAAGTGTTGAGATAGTAAGCACAAGTAGGAGCCTTAGCTAGGTAAGCCCTAGCTAGGCAAGAGAGAATAAGCAAAGGAGAGGGTGTTCACTAGAAAGCAGCAGGATACATATAGGAAACCCTAAGGGGTTGTACTCGCTATAGAGTACCCCACTGCAGGCTAGAGAACAATAACATTCTGACAGAAAGTGGGGGGGGGGGATGAAAGTGGGGGGGGGATGAAAGTGGGGGGGGGGGATGAAAGTGGGGGGGGGATGAAAGTGGGGGGGGGATGAAAGTGGGGGGGGGATGAAAGTGGGGGGGGATGAAAGTGGGGGGGGATGAAAGTGGGGGGGGATGAAAGTGGGGGGGGATGAAAGTGGGGGGGGGGATGAAAGTGGGGGGGGATGAAAGTGGGGGGGGGGATGAAAGTGGGGGGGGATGAAAGTGGGGGGGGGGATGAAAGTGGGGGGGGATGAAAGTGGGGGGGGATGAAAGTGGGGGGGGGGGATGAAAGTGGGGGGGGGGATGAAAGTGGGGGGGGGGATGAAAGTGGGGGGGGATGAAAGTGGGGGGGGGGATGAAAGTGGGGGGGGATGAAAGTGGGGGGGAAGCTTCGGGGCGTCTCTTTGCTGCTTCTCACCCACACTTGCTCTCTGCAAACAGTGTACCTTCTCTGACATACCAGTTCTGCTCCACAACAGCCAGGCTTCTCCCTTGGGAGAAGCAAGGTCCCTCACACATATCCTTGCTCCCCCTCGCCCTTCTTTTTCACTCTCCCTCATCTTCTCTGTGCTCCTACCTCTCAGTCGACTCAAAAGTCACCTCGTTACAGTGGCACACGACATCTTTTTTCACTCTCCCTCATCTTCTCTGTGCTCCTACCTCCCATCTCTTCCCTTCCCTCCTGCCTCTCACTCGTCCCCGCCCTCCCTCGCCCCTGTCTTTTGGCACTCTTCTCCTCTCTTCTTCCAACACCCCCCTCTTCCTCCCCTTTCCCCCAACTCCCCCATTCCCCCATTCGCCCATCCCCCCCAACAGGCGAACCCCCCGCAGCTGCTGAGCAGCATTCTGTACATTCAGCGGTACCGCCACAGCGACCGGCTCGTCTCTGAGGCCGCTTACTTCTTCACCAACCTCGCCTCTGCCGCCACCTTCCTCGAATCCCTCTCTGCCGCCCAGCTCTCTCTCACCGACCAGGAGTTCCAGCGGTTGTTGGAGGCTGGGTACAAGGCGACTGGTGGGGGGGAAGTGGGGGGAGAAGGAGGGGAAGGGGGAGAGGGGGGAGAGGGGGGAGAAGGGGGAGGGAAGGGGAGTGGAGGAGAGGGAGGAGGAGGGGGTTCGGGAGGGGAGATTGGAAGCGGGGGAAAGGAGGGAAGAGTAGCAGGAGGAGCAGAGGCAGCAGTAGCAGCACCTGACAGCACTGCTGCCGCTGCTGCCACTCCCACCAGCGGTGCTGCTGGTACCAGCAGCAGCAGCAGCAGCAGCAGCAATCCGCAGAGGGAGAGGGAGACAGAGCGGGTGGTGGCGGTATCGGAGATATCAAGGGACAAGGGCGTGTTGAGGGAGCTGGTGAGAGCAGACGCCAGTGGCGAGCTCGCCCGCTCCTTCCGCTTCCTCTACGCCTCGGCTGCTGACCTCTCCATCGCTGACGTTTCAGACCTGCTCGCAGAGTACAAGGATCTAGCACTCAGGTACGCTCCTCCTGCCGCGCGCCTTCCGTCCCACTTGTCGTCCCACGTCTTGCCTTGTGCTACACCCCTCGTGCTGGCTGATGTCTCTGACCTCCTCGGAGAGTACAAGGACCTCGCACTCAGGTACAGCCCTCCTGTCGATCCCTTCGTTCCTCCTCCTGGCCATCTTCCATCCCACTTGTTGTCTCACGTGGTGTCGTCCTTAACGCCTCTGAACCGGACTTCTCGATTGCTCATGTCTCTCCTCCCATCTCTCCTCCTGTCACTCCCTTCACGTTGCTCCTCCCATCTCTCCTCCTGTCACTCCCTTCACGTTGCTCCTCCCATCTCTCCTCCTGTCACTCCCTTCACGTTGCTCCTCCCATCTCTCCTCCTGTCACTCCCTTCACGTTGCTCCTCCCATCTCTCCTCCTGTCACTCCCTTCACGTTGCTCCTCCCATCTCTCCTCCTGTCACTCCCTTCACGTTGCTCCTCCATCTCTCCTCCTGTCACTCCCTTCACGTTGCTCCTCCCATCTCTCCTCCTGTCACTCCCTTCACGTTGCTCCTCCCATCTCTCCTCCTGTCACTCCCTTCACGTTGCTCCTCCCATCTCTCCTCCTGTCACTCCCTTCACGTTGCTCCTCCCATCTCTCCTCCTGTCACTCCCTTCACGTTGCTCCTCCCATCTCTCCTCCTGTCACTCCCTTCACGTTGCTCCTCCCATCTCTCCTCCTGTCACTCCCTTCACGTTGCTCCTCCCATCTCTCCTCCTGTCACTCCCTTCACGTTGCTCCTCCCATCTCTCCTCCTGTCACTCCCTTCACGTTGCTCCTCCCATCTCTCCTCCTGTCACTCCCTTCACGTTGCTCCTCCCATCTCTCCTCCTGTCACTCCCTTCACGTTGCTCCTCCCATCTCTCCTCCTGTCACTCCCTTCACGTTGCTCCTCCCATCTCTCCTCCTGTCACTCCCTTCACGTTGCTCCTCCCATCTCTCCTCCTGTCACTCCCTTCACGTTGCTCCTCCCATCTCTCCTCCTGTCACTCCCTTCACGTTGCTCCTCCCATCTCTCCTCCTGTCACTCCCTTCACGTTGCTCCTCCCATCTCTCCTCCTGTCACTCCCTTCACGTTGCTCCTCCCATCTCTCCTCCTGTCACTCCCTTCACGTTGCTCCTCCCATCTCTCCTCCTGTCACTCCCTTCACGTTGCTCCTCCCATCTCTCCTCCTGTCACTCCCTTCACGTTGCTCCTCCCATCTCTCCTCCTGTCACTCCCTTCACGTTGCTCCTCCCATCTCTCCTCCTGTCACTCCCTTCACGTTGCTCCTCCCATCTCTCCTCCTGTCACTCCCTTCACGTTGCTCCTCCCATCTCTCCTCCTGTCACTCCCTTCACGTTGCTCCTCCCATCTCTCCTCCTGTCACTCCCTTCACGTTGCTCCTCCCATCTCTCCTCCTGTCACTCCCTTCACGTTGCTCCTCCCATCTCTCCTCCTGTCACTCCCTTCACGTTGCTCCTCCCATCTCTCCTCCTGTCACTCCCTTCACGTTGCTCCTCCCATCTCTCCTCCTGTCACTCCCTTCACGTTGCTCCTCCCATCTCTCCTCCTGTCACTCCCTTCACGTTGCTCCTCCCATCTCTCCTCCTGTCACTCCCTTCACGTTGCTCCTCCCATCTCTCCTCCTGTCACTCCCTTCACGTTGCTCCTCCCATCTCTCCTCCTGTCACTCCCTTCACGTTGCTCCTCCCATCTCTCCTCCTGTCACTCCCTTCACGTTGCTCCTCCCATCTCTCCTCCTGTCACTCCCTTCACGTTGCTCCTCCCATCTCTCCTCCTGTCACTCCCTTCACGTTGCTCCTCCCATCTCTCCTCCTGTCACTCCCTTCACGTTGCTCCTCCCATCTCTCCTCCTGTCACTCCCTTCACGTTGCTCCTCCCATCTCTCCTCCTGTCACTCCCTTCACGTTGCTCCTCCCATCTCTCCTCCTGTCACTCCCTTCACGTTGCTCCTCCCATCTCTCCTCCTGTCACTCCCTTCACGTTGCTCCTCCCATCTCTCCTCCTGTCACTCCCTTCACGTTGCTCCTCCCATCTCTCCTCCTGTCACTCCCTTCACGTTGCTCCTCCCATCTCTCCTCCTGTCACTCCCTTCACGTTGCTCCTCCCATCTCTCCTCCTGTCACTCCCTTCACGTTGCTCCTCCCATCTCTCCTCCTGTCACTCCCTTCACGTTGCTCCTCCCATCTCTCCTCCTGTCACTCCCTTCACGTTGCTCCTCCCATCTCTCCTCCTGTCACTCCCTTCACGTTGCTCCTCCCATCTCTCCTCCTGTCACTCCCTTCACGTTGCTCCTCCCATCTCTCCTCCTGTCACTCCCTTCACGTTGCTCCTCCCATCTCTCCTCCTGTCACTCCCTTCACGTTGCTCCTCCCATCTCTCCTCCTGTCACTCCCTTCACGTTGCTCCTCCCATCTCTCCTCCTGTCACTCCCTTCACGTTGCTCCTCCCATCTCTCCTCCTGTCACTCCCTTCACGTTGCTCCTCCCGTCTCTCCTCCTGTCACTCCCTTCACGTTGCTCCTCCCCGTCTCTCCTCCTGTCACTCCCTTCACGTTGCTCCTCCCATCTCTCCTCCTGTCACTCCCTTCACGTTGCTCCTCCCATCTCTCCTCCTGTCACTCCCTTCACGTTGCTCCTCCCATCTCTCCTCCTGTCACTCCCTTCACGTTGCTCCTCCCATCTCTCCTCCTGTCACTCCCTTCACGTTGCTCCTCCCATCTCTCCTCCTGTCACTCCCTTCACTGTTTCTCCTCCCATCTCTCCTCCTGTCACTCCCTTCACGTTGCTCCTCCCATCTCTCCTCCTGTCACTCCCTTCACGTTGCTCCTCCCATCTCTCCTCCTGTCACTCCCTTCACGTTGCTCCTCCCATCTCTCCTCTGTCACTCCCTTCACGTTGCTCCTCCCATCTCTCCTCCTGTCACTCCCTTCACGTTGCTCCTCCCATCTCTCCTCCTGTCACTCCCTTCACGTGCTCCTCCCATCTCTCCTCCTGTCACTCCCTTCACGTTGCTCCTCCCATCTCTCCTCCTGTCACTCCCTTCACGTTGCTCCTCCCATCTCTCCTCCTGTCACTCCTCCTTCACGTTGCTCCGTCCCATCTCTCCTCCTGTCACTCCCTTCACGTTGCTCCTCCCATCTCTCCTCCTGTCACTCCCTTCACGTGCTCCTCCCATCTCTCCTCCTGTCACTCCCTTCACGTTGCTCCTCCCGTCTCTCCTCCTGTCACTCCCTTCACGTTGCTCCTCCCATCTCTCCTCCTGTCACTCCCTTCACGTTGCTCCTCCCATCTCTCCTCCTGTCACTCCCTTCACGTCTGCTCCTCCCATCTCTCCTCCTGTCACTCCCTTCACGTTGCTCCTCCCATCTCTCCTCCTGTCACTCCCTTCACGTTGCTCCTCCCATCTCTCCTCCTGTCACTCCCTTCACGTTGCTCCTCCCATCTCTCCTCCTGTCACTCCCTTCACGTTGCTCCTCCCATCTCTCCTCCTGTCACTCCCTTCACGTTGCTCCTCCCATCTCTCCTCCTGTCACTCCCTTCACGTTGCTCCTCCCATCTCTCCTCCTGTCACTCCCTTCACGTTGCTCCTCCCATCTCTCCTCCTGTCACTCCCTTCACGTTGCTCCTCCCATCTCTCCTCCTGTCACTCCCTTCACGTTGCTCCTCCCATCTCTCCTCCTGTCACTCCCTTCACGTTGCTCCTCCCATCTCTCCTCCTGTCACTCCCTTCACGTTGCTCCTCCCATCTCTCCTCCTGTCACTCCCTTCACGTTGCTCCTCCCATCTCTCCTCCTGTCACTCCCTTCACGTTGCTCCTCCCATCTCTCCTCCTGTCACTCCCTTCACGTTGCTCCTCCCATCTCTCCTCCTGTCACTCCCTTCACGTTGCTCCTCCCATCTCTCCTCCTGTCACTCCCTTCACGTTGCTCCTCCCATCTCTCCTCCTGTCACTCCCTTCACGTTGCTCCTCCCATCTCTCCTCCTGTCACTCCCTTCACGTTGCTCCTCCCATCTCTCCTCCTGTCACTCCCTTCACGTTGCTCCTCCCATCTCTCCTCCTGTCACTCCCTTCACGTTGCTCCTCCCATCTCTCCTCCTGTCACTCCCTTCACGTTGCTCCTCCCATCTCTCCTCCTGTCACTCCCTTCACGTTGCTCCTCCCATCTCTCCTCCTGTCACTCCCTTCACGTTGCTCCTCCCATCTCTCCTCCTGTCACTCCCTTCACGTTGCTCCTCCCATCTCTCCTCCTGTCACTCCCTTCACGTTGCTCCTCCCATCTCTCCTCCTGTCACTCCCTTCACGTTGCTCCTCCCATCTCTCCTTCCTGTCAACTCCCTTCACGTTGCTCCTCCCATCTCTCCTCCTGTCACTCCCTTCACGTTGCTCCTCCCATCTCTCCTCCTGTCACTCCCTTCACGTTGCTCCTCCCATCTCTCCTCCTGTCACTCCCTTCACGTTGCTCCTCCCATCTCTCCTCCTGTCACTCCCTTCACGTTGCTCCTCCCATCTCTCCTCCTGTCACTCCCTTCACGTTGCTCCTCCCATCTCTCCTCCTGTCACTCCCTTCACGTTGCTCCTCCCATCTCTCCTCCTGTCACTCCCTTCACGTTGCTCCTCCCATCTCTCCTCCTGTCACTCCCCTTCACGTTGCTCCTCCCATCTCTCCTCCTGTCACTCCCTTCACGTTGCTCCTCCCATCTCTCCTCCTGTCACTCCCTTCACGTTGCTCCTCCCATCTCTCCTCCTGTCACTCCCTTCACGTTGCTCCTCCCGTCTCTCCTCTGTCACTCCCTTCACGTTGCTCCTCCCATCTCTCCTCCTGTCACTCCCTTCACGTTGCTCCTCCCATCTCTCCTCCTGTCACTCCCTTCACGTTGCTCCTCCCATCTCTCCTCCTGTCACTCCCTTCACGTTGCTCCTCCCATCTCTCCTCCTGTCACTCCCTTCACGTTGCTCCTCCCATCTCTCCTCCTGTCACTCCCTTCACGTTGCTCCTCCCATCTCTCCTCCTGTCACTCCCTTCACGTTGCTCCTCCCATCTCTCCTCCTGTCACTCCCTTCACGTTGCTCCTCCCATCTCTCCTCCTGTCACTCCCTTCACGTTGCTCCTCCCATCTCTCCTCCTGTCACTCCCTTCACGTTGCTCCTCCCATCTCTCCTCCTGTCACTCCCTTCACGTTTGCTCCTCCCATCTCTCCTCCTGTCACTCCCTTCACGTTTGCTCCTCCCATCTCTCCTCCTGTCACTCCCTTCACGTTGCTCCTCCCATCTCTCCTCCTGTCACTCCCTTCACGTTGCTCCCTCCCATCTCTCCTCCTGTCACTCCCTTCACGTTGCTCCTCCCATCTCTCCTCCTGTCACTCCTTCACGTTGCTCCTCCCATCTCTCTCCTGTCACTCCCTTCACGTTGCTCCTCCCATCTCTCCTCCTGTCACTCCCTTCACGTTGCTCCTCCCATCTCTCCTCCTGTCACTCCCTTCACGTTGCTCCTCCCATCTCTCCTCCTGTCACTCCCTTCACGTTGCTCCTCCCGTCTCTCCTCCTGTCACTCCCTTCACGTTGCTCCTCCCGTCTCTCCTCCTGTCACTCCCTTCACGTTGCTCCTCCCATCTCTCCTGTCACTCCCTTCACGTTGCTCCTCCCATCTCTCCTCCTGTCACTCCCTTCACGTTGCTCCTCCCATCTCTCCTCCTGTCACTCCCTTCACGTTGCTCCTCCCATCTCTCCTCCTGTCACTCCCTTCACGTTGCTCCTCCCATCTCTCCTCCTGTCACTCCCTTCACGTTGCTCCTCCCATCTCTCCTCCTGTCACTCCCTTCACGTTGCTCCTCCCATCTCTCCTCCTGTCACTCCCTTCACGTTGCTCCTCCCATCTCTCCTCCTGTCACTCCCTTCACGTTGCTCCTCCCATCTCTCCTCCTGTCACTCCCTTCACGTTGCTCCTCCCATCTCTCCTCCTGTCACTCCCTTCACGTTGCTCCTCCCATCTCTCCTCCTGTCACTCCCTTCACGTTGCTCCTCCCATCTCTCCTCCTGTCACTCCCTTCACGTTGCTCCTCCCATCTCTCCTCCTGTCACTCCCTTCACGTTGCTCCTCCCATCTCTCCTCCTGTCACTCCCTTCACGTTGCTCCTCCCATCTCTCCTCCTGTCACTCCCTTCACGTTGCTCCTCCCATCTCTCCTCCTGTCACTCCCTTCACGTTGCTCCTCCCATCTCTCCTCCTGTCACTCCCTTCACGTTGCTCCTCCCATCTCTCCTCCTGTCACTCCCTTCACGTTGCTCCTCCCATCTCTCCTCCTGTCACTCCCTTCACGTTGCTCCTCCCATCTCTCCTCCTGTCACTCCCTTCACGTTGCTCCTCCCATCTCTCCTCCTGTCACTCCCTTCACGTTGCTCCTCCCGTCTCTCCTCCTGTCACTCCCTTCACGTTGCTCCTCCCATCTCTCCTCCTGTCACTCCCTTCACGTTGCTCCTCCCATCTCTCCTCCTGTCACTCCCTTCACGTTGCTCCTCCCATCTCTCCTCCTGTCACTCCCTTCACGTTGCTCCTCCCATCTCTCCTCCTGTCACTCCCTTCACGTTGCTCCTCCCATCTCTCCTCCTGTCACTCCCTTCACGTTGCTCCTCCCATCTCTCCTCCTGTCACTCCCTTCACGTTGCTCCTCCCATCTCTCCTCCTGTCACTCCCTTCACGTTTGCTCCTCCCATCTCTCCTCCTGTCACTCCCTTCACGTTGCTCCTCCCATCTCTCCTCCTGTCACTCCCTTCACGTTGCTCCTCCCATCTCTCCTCCTGTCACTCCCTTCACGTTGCTCCTCCCATCTCTCCTCCTGTCACTCCCTTCACGTTGCTCCTCCCATCTCTCCTCCTGTCACTCCCTTCACGTTGCTCCTCCCATCTCTCCTCCTGTCACTCCCTTCACGTTGCTCCTCCCATCTCTCCTCCTGTCACCCTCATCTCCTCCATCTCTCTCCTGTCACTCCCTTCACGTTGCTCCTCCCATCTCTCCTCCTGTCACTCCCTTCACGTTGCTCCTCCCATCTCTCCTCCTGTCACTCCCTTCACGTTGCTCCTCCCATCTCTCCTCCTGTCACTCCCTTCACGTTGCTCCTCCCATCTCTCCTCCTGTCACTCCCTTCACGTTGCTCCTCCCATCTCTCCTCCTGTCACTCCCTTCACGTTGCTCCTCCCATCTCTCCTCCTGTCACTCCCTTCACGTTGCTCCTCCCATCTCTCCTCCTGTCACTCCCTTCACGTTGCTCCTCCCATCTCTCCTCCTGTCACTCCCTTCACGTTGCTCCTCCCATCTCTCCTCCTGTCACTCCCTTCACGTTGCTCCTCCCATCTCTCCTCCTGTCACTCCCTTCACGTTGCTCCTCCCATCTCTCCTCCTGTCACTCCCTTCACGTTGCTCCTCCCATCTCTCCTCCTGTCACTCCCTTCACGTTGCTCCTCCCATCTCTCCTCCTGTCACTCCCTTCACGTTGCTCCTCCCATCTCTCCTCCTGTCACTCCCTTCACGTTGCTCCTCCCATCTCTCCTCCTGTCACTCCCTTCACGTTGCTCCTCCCATCTCTCCTCCTGTCACTCCCTTCACGTTGCTCCTCCCATCTCTCCTCCTGTCACTCCCTTCACGTTGCTCCTCCCATCTCTCCTCCTGTCACTCCCTTCACGTTGCTCCTCCCATCTCTCCTCCTGTCACTCCCTTCACGTTGCTCCTCCCATCTCTCCTCCTGTCACTCCCTTCACGTTGCTCCTCCCATCTCTCCTCCTGTCACTCCCTTCACGTTGCTCCTCCCATCTCTCCTCCTGTCACTCCCTTCACGTTGCTCCTCCCATCTCTCCTCCTGTCACTCCCTTCACGTTGCTCCTCCCATCTCTCCTCCTGTCACTCCCTTCACGTTGCTCCTCCCATCTCTCCTCCTGTCACTCCCTTCACGTTGCTCCTCCCATCTCTCCTCCTGTCACTCCCTTCACGTTGCTCCTCCCATCTCTCCTCCTGTCACTCCCTTCACGTTGCTCCTCCCATCTCTCCTCCTGTCACTCCCTTCACGTTGCTCCTCCCATCTCTCCTCCTGTCACTCCCTTCACGTTGCTCCTCCCATCTCTCCTCCTGTCACTCCCTTCACGTTGCTCCTCCCATCTCTCCTCCTGTCACTCCCTTCACGTTGCTCCTCCCATCTCTCCTCCTGTCACTCCCTTCACGTTGCTCCTCCCATCTCTCCTCCTGTCACTCCCTTCACGTTGCTCCTCCCATCTCTCCTCCTGTCACTCCCTTCACGTTGCTCCTCCCATCTCTCCTCCTGTCACTCCCTTCACGTTGCTCCTCCCATCTCTCCTCCTGTCACTCCCTTCACGTTGCTCCTCCCATCTCTCCTCCTGTCACTCCCTTCACGTTGCTCCTCCCATCTCTCCTCCTGTCACTCCCTTCACGTTGCTCCTCCCATCTCTCCTCCTGTCACTCCCTTCACGTTGCTCCTCCCATCTCTCCTCCTGTCACTCCCTTCACGTTGCTCCTCCCATCTCTCCTCCTGTCACTCCCTTCACGTTGCTCCTCCCATCTCTCCTCCTGTCACTCCCTTCACGTTGCTCCTCCCATCTCTCCTCCTGTCACTCCCTTCACGTTGCTCCTCCCATCTCTCCTCCTGTCACTCCCTTCACGTTGCTCCTCCCATCTCTCCTCCTGTCACTCCCTTCACGTTGCTCCTCCCATCTCTCCTCCTGTCACTCCCTTCACGTTGCTCCTCCCATCTCTCCTCCTGTCACTCCCTTCACGTTGCTCCTCCCATCTCTCCTCCTGTCACTCCCTTCACGTTGCTCCTCCCATCTCTCCTCCTGTCACTCCCTTCACGTTGCTCCTCCCATCTCTCCTCCTGTCACTCCCTTCACGTTGCTCCTCCCATCTCTCCTCCTGTCACTCCCTTCACGTTGCTCCTCCCATCTCTCCTCCTGTCACTCCCTTCACGTTGCTCCTCCCATCTCTCCTCCTGTCACTCCCTTCACGTTGCTCCTCCCATCTCTCCTCCTGTCACTCCCTTCACGTTGCTCCTCCCATCTCTCCTCCTGTCACTCCCTTCACGTTGCTCCTCCCATCTCTCCTCCTGTCACTCCCTTCACGTTGCTCCTCCCATCTCTCCTCCTGTCACTCCCTTCACGTTGCTCCTCCCATCTCTCCTCCTGTCACTCCCTTCACGTTGCTCCTCCCATCTCTCCTCCTGTCACTCCCTTCACGTTGCTCCTCCCATCTCTCCTCCTGTCACTCCCTTCACGTTGCTCCTCCCATCTCTCCTCCTGTCACTCCCTTCACGTTGCTCCTCCCATCTCTCCTCCTGTCACTCCCTTCACGTTGCTCCTCCCATCTCTCCTCCTGTCACTCCCTTCACGTTGCTCCTCCCATCTCTCCTCCTGTCACTCCCTTCACGTTGCTCCTCCCATCTCTCCTCCTGTCACTCCCTTCACGTTGCTCCTCCCATCTCTCCTCCTGTCACTCCCTTCACGTTGCTCCTCCCATCTCTCCTCCTGTCACTCCCTTCACGTTGCTCCTCCCATCTCTCCTCGTCACGTTGCTCCTCCCATCTCTCCTCCTGTCACTCCCTTCACGTTGCTCCTCCCATCTCTCCTCCTGTCACTCCCTTCACGTTGCTCCTCCCATCTCTCCTCCTGTCACTCCCTTCACGTTGCTCCTCCCATCTCTCCTCCTGTCACTCCCTTCACGTTGCTCCTCCCATCTCTCCTCCTGTCACTCCCTTCACGTTGCTCCTCCCATCTCTCCTCCTGTCACTCCCTTCACGTTGCTCCTCCCATCTCTCCTCCTGTCACTCCCTTCACGTTGCTCCTCCCATCTCTCCTCCTGTCACTCCCTTCACGTTGCTCCTCCCATCTCTCCTCCTGTCACTCCCTTCACGTTGCTCCTCCCATCTCTCCTCCTGTCACTCCCTTCACGTTGCTCCTCCCATCTCTCCTCCTGTCACTCCCTTCACGTTGCTCCTCCCATCTCTCCTCCTGTCACTCCCTTCACGTTGCTCCTCCCATCTCTCCTCCTGTCACTCCCTTCACGTTGCTCCTCCCATCTCTCCTCCTGTCACTCCCTTCACGTTGCTCCTCCCATCTCTCCTCCTGTCACTCCCTTCACGTTGCTCCTCCCATCTCTCCTCCTGTCACTCCCTTCACGTTGCTCCTCCCATCTCTCCTCCTGTCACTCCCTTCACGTTGCTCCTCCCATCTCTCCTCCTGTCACTCCCTTCACGTTGCTCCTCCCATCTCTCCTCCTGTCACTCCCTTCACGTTGCTCCTCCCATCTCTCCTCCTGTCACTCCCTTCACGTTGCTCCTCCCATCTCTCCTCCTGTCACTCCCTTCACGTTGCTCCTCCCATCTCTCCTCCTGTCACTCCCTTCACGTTGCTCCTCCCATCTCTCCTCCTGTCACTCCCTTCACGTTGCTCCTCCCATCTCTCCTCCTGTCACTCCCTTCACGTTGCTCCTCCCATCTCTCCTCCTGTCACTCCCTTCACGTTGCTCCTCCCATCTCTCCTCCTGTCACTCCCTTCACGTTGCTCCTCCCATCTCTCCTCCTGTCACTCCCTTCACGTTGCTCCTCCCATCTCTCCTCCTGTCACTCCCTTCACGTTGCTCCTCCCATCTCTCCTCCTGTCACTCCCTTCACGTTGCTCCTCCCATCTCTCCTCCTGTCACTCCCTTCACGTTGCTCCTCCCATCTCTCCTCCTGTCACTCCCTTCACGTTGCTCCTCCCATCTCTCCTCCTGTCACTCCCTTCACGTTGCTCCTCCCATCTCTCCTCCTGTCACTCCCTTCACGTTGCTCCTCCCATCTCTCCTCCTGTCACTCCCTTCACGTTGCTCCTCCCATCTCTCCTCCTGTCACTCCCTTCACGTTGCTCCTCCCATCTCTCCTCCTGTCACTCCCTTCACGTTGCTCCTCCCATCTCTCCTCCTGTCACTCCCTTCACGTTGCTCCTCCCATCTCTCCTCCTGTCACTCCCTTCACGTTGCTCCTCCCATCTCTCCTCCTGTCACTCCCTTCACGTTGCTCCTCCCATCTCTCCTCCTGTCACTCCCTTCACGTTGCTCCTCCCATCTCTCCTCCTGTCACTCCCTTCACGTTGCTCCTCCCATCTCTCCTCCTGTCACTCCCTTCACGTTGCTCCTCCCATCTCTCCTCCTGTCACTCCCTTCACGTTGCTCCTCCCATCTCTCCTCCTGTCACTCCCTTCACGTTGCTCCTCCCATCTCTCCTCCTGTCACTCCCTTCACGTTGCTCCTCCCATCTCTCCTCCTGTCACTCCCTTCACGTTGCTCCTCCCATCTCTCCTCCTGTCACTCCCTTCACGTTGCTCCTCCCATCTCTCCTCCTGTCACTCCCTTCACGTTGCTCCTCCCATCTCTCCTCCTGTCACTCCCTTCACGTTGCTCCTCCCATCTCTCCTCCTGTCACTCCCTTCACGTTGCTCCTCCCATCTCTCCTCCTGTCACTCCCTTCACGTTGCTCCTCCCATCTCTCCTCCTGTCACTCCCTTCACGTTGCTCCTCCCATCTCTCCTCCTGTCACTCCCTTCACGTTGCTCCTCCCATCTCTCCTCCTGTCACTCCCTTCACGTTGCTCCTCCCATCTCTCCTCCTGTCACTCCCTTCACGTTGCTCCTCCCATCTCTCCTCCTGTCACTCCCTTCACGTTGCTCCTCCCATCTCTCCTCCTGTCACTCCCTTCACGTTGCTCCTCCCATCTCTCCTCCTGTCACTCCCTTCACGTTGCTCCTCCCATCTCTCCTCCTGTCACTCCCTTCACGTTGCTCCTCCCATCTCTCCTCCTGTCACTCCCTTCACGTTGCTCCTCCCATCTCTCCTCCTGTCACTCCCTTCACGTTGCTCCTCCCATCTCTCCTCCTGTCACTCCCTTCACGTTGCTCCTCCCATCTCTCCTCCTGTCACTCCCTTCACGTTGCTCCTCCCATCTCTCCTCCTGTCACTCCCTTCACGTTGCTCCTCCCATCTCTCCTCCTGTCACTCCCTTCACGTTGCTCCTCCCATCTCTCCTCCTGTCACTCCCTTCACGTTGCTCCTCCCATCTCTCCTCCTGTCACTCCCTTCACGTTGCTCCTCCCATCTCTCCTCCTGTCACTCCCTTCACGTTGCTCCTCCCATCTCTCCTCCTGTCACTCCCTTCACGTTGCTCCTCCCATCTCTCCTCCTGTCACTCCCTTCACGTTGCTCCTCCCATCTCTCCTCCTGTCACTCCCTTCACGTTGCTCCTCCCATCTCTCCTCCTGTCACTCCCTTCACGTTGCTCCTCCCATCTCTCCTCCTGTCACTCCCTTCACGTTGCTCCTCCCATCTCTCCTCCTGTCACTCCCTTCACGTTGCTCCTCCCATCTCTCCTCCTGTCACTCCCTTCACGTTGCTCCTCCCATCTCTCCTCCTGTCACTCCCTTCACGTTGCTCCTCCCATCTCTCCTCCTGTCACTCCCTTCACGTTGCTCCTCCCATCTCTCCTCCTGTCACTCCTTCACGTTGCTCCTCCCATCTCTCCTCCTGTCACTCCCTTCACGTTGCTCCTCCCATCTCTCCTCCTGTCACTCCCTTCACGTTGCTCCTCCCATCTCTCCTCCTGTCACTCCCTTCACGTTGCTCCTCCCATCTCTCCTCCTGTCACTCCCTTCACGTTGCTCCTCCCATCTCTCCTCCTGTCACTCCCTTCACGTTGCTCCTCCCATCTCTCCTCCTGTCACTCCCTTCACGTTGCTCCTCCCATCTCTCCTCCTGTCACTCCCTTCACGTTGCTCCTCCCATCTCTCCTCCTGTCACTCCCTTCACGTTGCTCCTCCCATCTCTCCTCCTGTCACTCCCTTCACGTTGCTCCTCCCATCTCTCCTCCTGTCACTCCCTTCACGTTGCTCCTCCCATCTCTCCTCCTGTCACTCCCTTCACGTTGCTCCTCCCATCTCTCCTCCTGTCACTCCCTTCACGTTGCTCCTCCCATCTCTCCTCCTGTCACTCCCTTCACGTTGCTCCTCCCATCTCTCCTCCTGTCACTCCCTTCACGTTGCTCCTCCCATCTCTCCTCCTGTCACTCCCTTCACGTTGCTCCTCCCATCTCTCCTCCTGTCACTCCCTTCACGTTGCTCCTCCCATCTCTCCTCCTGTCACTCCCTTCACGTTGCTCCTCCCATCTCTCCTCCTGTCACTCCCTTCACGTTGCTCCTCCCATCTCTCCTCCTGTCACTCCCTTCACGTTGCTCCTCCCATCTCTCCTCCTGTCACTCCCTTCACGTTGCTCCTCCCATCTCTCCTCCTGTCACTCCCTTCACGTTGCTCCTCCCATCTCTCCTCCTGTCACTCCCTTCACGTTGCTCCTCCCATCTCTCCTCCTGTCACTCCCTTCACGTTGCTCCTCCCATCTCTCCTCCTGTCACTCCCTTCACGTTGCTCCTCCCATCTCTCCTCCTGTCACTCCCTTCACGTTGCTCCTCCCATCTCTCCTCCTGTCACTCCCTTCACGTTGGCTCCTCCCATCTCTCCTCCTGTCACTCCCTTCACGTTGCTCCTCCCATCTCTCCTCCTGTCACTCCCTTCACGTTGCTCCTCCCATCTCTCCTCCTGTCACTCCCTTCACGTTGCTCCTCCCATCTCTCCCTCCGTGTCACTCCCTTCACGTTGCTCCTCCCATCTCTCCTCCTGTCACTCCCTTCACGTTGCTCCTCCCATCTCTCCTCCTGTCACTCCCTTCACGTTGCTCCTCCCATCTCTCCTCCTGTCACTCCCTTCACGTTGCTCCTCCCATCTCTCCTCCTGTCACTCCCTTCACGTTGCTCCTCCCATCTCTCCTCCTGTCACTCCCTTCACGTTGCTCCTCCCATCTCTCCTCCTGTCACTCCCTTCACGTTGCTCCTCCCATCTCTCCTCCTGTCACTCCCTTCACGTTGCTCCTCCCATCTCTCCTCCTGTCACTCCCTTCACGTTGCTCCTCCCATCTCTCCTCCTGTCACTCCCTTCACGTTGCTCTCCCATCTCTCCTCCTGTCACTCCCTTCACGTTGCTCCTCCATCTCTCCTCCTGTCACTCCCTTCACGTTGCTCCTCCCATCTCTCCTCCTGTCACTCCCTTCACGTTGCTCCTCCCATCTCCTCCTCCTGTCACTCCCTTCACGTTGCTCCTCCCATCTCTCCTCCTGTCACTCCCTTCACGTTGCTCCTCCCATCTCTCCTCCTGTCACTCCCTTCACGTTGCTCCTCCCATCTCTCCTCCTGTCACTCCCTTCACGTTGCTCCTCCCATCTCTCCTCCTGTCACTCCCTTCACGTTGCTCCTCCCATCTCTCCTCCTGTCACTCCCTTCACGTTGCTCCTCCCATCTCTCCTCCTGTCACTCCCTTCACGTTGCTCCTCCCATCTCTCCTCCTGTCACTCCCTTCACGTTGCTCCTCCCATCTCTCCTCCTGTCACTCCCTTCACGTTGCTCCTCCCATCTCTCCTCCTGTCACTCCCTTCACGTTGCTCCTCCCATCTCTCCTCCTGTCACTCCCTTCACGTTGCTCCTCCCATCTCTCCTCCTGTCACTCCCTTCACGTTGCTCCTCCCATCTCTCCTCCTGTCACTCCCTTCACGTTGCTCCTCCCATCTCTCCTCCTGTCACTCCCTTCACGTTGCTCCTCCCATCTCTCCTCCTGTCACTCCCTTCACGTTGCTCCTCCCATCTCTCCTCCTGTCACTCCCTTCACGTTGCTCCTCCATCTCTCCTCCTGTCACTCCCTTCACGTTGCTCCTCCCATCTCTCCTCCTGTCACTCCCTTCACGTTGCTCCTCCCATCTCTCCTCCTGTCACTCCCTTCACGTTGCTCCTCCCATCTCTCCTCCTGTCACTCCCTTCACGTTGCTCCTCCCATCTCTCCTCCTGTCACTCCCTTCACGTTGCTCCTCCCATCTCTCCTCCTGTCACTCCCTTCACGTTGCTCCTCCCATCTCTCCTCCTGTCACTCCCTTCACGTTGCTCCTCCCATCTCTCCTCCTGTCACTCCCTTCACGTTGCTCCTCCCATCTCTCCTCCTGTCACCCCTTTTCCCCCTTTTCCCAACGTTGCTCCTCCCATCTCTCCTCCTGTCACTCCCTTCACGTTGCTCCTCCCATCTCTCCTCCTGTCACTCCCTTCACGTTGCTCCTCCCATCTCTCCTCCTGTCACTCCCTTCACGTTGCTCCTCCCATCTCTCCTCCTGTCACTCCCTTCACGTTGCTCCTCCCATCTCTCCTCCTGTCACTCCCTTCACGTTGCTCCTCCCATCTCTCCTCCTGTCACTCCCTTCACGTTGCTCCTCCCATCTCTCCTCCTGTCACTCCCTTCACGTTGCTCCTCCCATCTCTCCTCCTGTCACTCCCTTCACGTTGCTCCTCCCATCTCTCCTCCTGTCACTCCCTTCACGTTGCTCCTCCCATCTCTCCTCCTGTCACTCCCTTCACGTTGCTCCTCCCATCTCTCCTCCTGTCACTCCTTCACGTTGCTCCTCCCATCTCTCCTCCTGTCACTCCCTTCACGTTGCTCCTCCCATCTCTCCTCCTGTCACTCCCTTCACGTTGCTCCTCCCATCTCTCCTCCTGTCACTCCCTTCACGTTGCTCCTCCCATCTCTCCTCCTGTCACTCCCTTCACGTTGCTCCTCCCATCTCTCCTCCTGTCACTCCCTTCACGTTGCTCCTCCCATCTCTCCTCCTGTCACTCCCTTCACGTTGCTCCTCCCATCTCTCCTCCTGTCACTCCCTTCACGTTGCTCCTCCATCTCTCCTCCTGTCACTCCCTTCACGTTGCTCCTCCCATCTCTCCTCCTGTCACTCCCTTCACGTTGCTCCTCCCATCTCTCCTCCTGTCACTCCCTTCACGTTGCCTCCTCCCATCTCTCCCTCCTGTCACTCCCTTCACGTTTGCCTCCTCCCATCTCCTCCTCCTGTCACTCCCTTCACGTTGCTCCTCCCATCTCTCCTCCTGTCACTCCCTTCACGTGCTCCTCCCATCTCTCCTCCTGTCACTCCCTTCACGTTGCTCCTCCCATCTCTCCTCCTGTCACTCCCTTCACGTTGCTCCTCCCATCTCTCCTCCTGTCACTCCCTTCACGTTGCTCCTCCCATCTCTCTCCTCCTGTCACTCCCTTCACGTTGCTCCTCCCCATCTCTCCTCCTGTCACTCCCTTCACGTTGCTCCTCCCATCTCTCCTCCTGTCACTCCCTTCACGTTGCTCCTCCCATCTCTCCTCCTGTCACTCCCTTCACGTTGCTCCTCCCATCTCTTCCTCTGTCACTCCCTTCACTCTCCGTTGCCTCACTCCCCTTCACGTTGCTCCTCCCATCTCTCCTCCTGTCACTCCCTTCACGTTGCTCCTCCCATCTCTCCTCCTGTCACTCCCTTCACGTTGCTCCTCCCATCTCTCCTCCTGTCACTCCCTTCACGTTGCTCCTCCCATCTCTCCTCCTGTCACTCCCTTCACGTTGCTCCTCCATCTCTCCTCCTGTCACTCCCTTCACGTTGCTCCTCCCAATCTCTCCTCCTGTCACCTCCCTTCACGTTGCTCCTCCCATCTCTCCTCCTGTCACTCCCTTCACGTTGCTCCTCCCATCTCTCCTCCTGTCACTCCCTTCACGTTGCTCCTCCCATCTCTCCTCCTGTCACTCCCTTCACGTTGCTCCTCCCATCTCTCCTCCTGTCACTCCCTTCACGTTGCTCCTCCCATCTCTCCTCCTGTCACTCCCTTCACGTTGCTCCTCCCATCTCTCCTCCTGTCACTCCCTTCACGTTGCTCCTCCCATCTCTCCTCCTGTCACTCCCTTCACGTTGCTCCTCCCATCTCTCCTCCTGTCACTCCCTTCACGTTGCTCCTCCCATCTCTCCTCCTGTCACTCCCCTTCACGTTGCTCCTCCCATCTCTCCTCCTGTCACTCCCATCTCTCCCCTGTCACTCCCTTCACGTGCTCCTCCCATCTCTCCTCCTGTCACTCCTTCACGTTGCTCCTCCATCTCTCCTCCTGTCACTCCTCACGTTTGCTGCCTCCAGTCTCTCCTCCTGTCACTCCCTTCACGTTGCTCCTCCATCCTCTCCTGTCACTCCCTTCACGTTGCTCCTCCCATCTCTCCTCCTGTCACTCCTTCACGTTGCTCCTCCCTCTCTCCTCCTGTCACTCCCTTCACGTTGCTCCTCCCATCTCTCCTCCTGTCACTCCCTTCACGTTGCTCCTCCCATCTCTCCTCCTGTCACTCCCTTCACGTTGCTCCTCCCATCTCTCCTCCTGTCACTCCCTTCACGTTGCTCCTCCCATCTCTCCTCCCTTCACGTTGCTCCTCCCATCTCTCCTCCTGTCACTCCCTTCACGTTGCTCCTCCCATCTCTCCTCCTGTCACTCCCTTCACGTTGCTCCTCCCACTCTCCTCCTGTCACTCCCTTCACGTTCCTCCCATCTCTCCTCCTGTCACTCCCTCCTTGCTCCTCCCATCTCTCCCTTCACTTGCTCACCCATCTCCTCCTCCTGTCACTCCCTTCACGTTGCTCCTCCCATCTCTCCTCCTGTCACTCCCTTCACGTTGCTCCTCCCATCTCTCCTCCTGTCACTCCCTTCACGTTGCTCCTCCCATCTCTCCTCCTGTCACTCCCTTCACGTTGCTCCTCCCATCTCTCCTCCTGTCACTCCCTTCACGTTGCTCCTCCCATCTCTCCTCCTGTCACTCCCTTCACGTTGCTCCTCCCATCTCTCCTGTCACTCCCTTCACGTTGCTCCTCCCATCTCTCCTCCTGTCACTCCCTTCACGTTGCTCCTCCCATCTCTCCTCCTGTCACTCCCTTCACGTTGCTCCTCCCATCTCTCCTCCTGTCACTCCCTTCACGTTGCTCCTCCCATCTCTCCTCCTGTCACTCCCTTCACGTTGCTCCTCCCATCTCTCCTCCTGTCACTCCCTTCACGTTGCTCCTCCCATCTCTCCTCCTGTCACTCCCTTCACGTTGCTCCTCCCATCTCTCCTCCTGTCACTCCCTTCACGTTGCTCCTCCCATCTCTCCTCCTGTCACTCCCTTCACGTTGCTCCTCCCATCTCTCCTCCTGTCACTCCCTTCACGTTGCTCCTCCCATCTCTCCTCCTGTCACTCCCTTCACGTTGCTCCTCCCATCTCTCCTCCTGTCACTCCCTTCACGTTGCTCCTCCCATCTCTCCTCCTGTCACTCCCTTCACGTTGCTCCTCCCATCTCTCCTCCTGTCACTCCCTTCACGTTGCTCCTCCCATCTCTCCTCCTGTCACTCCCTTCACGTTGCTCCTCCCATCTCTCCTCCTGTCACTCCCTTCACGTTGCTCCTCCCATCTCTCCTCCTGTCACTCCCTTCACGTTGCTCCTCCCATCTCTCCTCCTGTCACTCCCTTCACGTTGCTCCTCCCATCTCTCCTCCTGTCACTCCCTTCACGTTGCTCCTCCCATCTCTCCTCCTGTCACTCCCTTCACGTTGCTCCTCCCATCTCTCCTCCTGTCACTCCCTTCACGTTGCTCCTCCCATCTCTCCTCCTGTCACTCCCTTCACGTTGCTCCTCCCATCTCTCCTCCTGTCACTCCCTTCACGTTGCTCCTCCCATCTCTCCTCCTGTCACTCCCTTCACGTTGCTCCTCCCATCTCTCCTCCTGTCACTCCCTTCACGTTGCTCCTCCCATCTCTCCTCCTGTCACTCCCTTCACGTTGCTCCTCCCATCTCTCCTCCTGTCACTCCCTTCACGTTGCTCCTCCCATCTCTCCTCCTGTCACTCCCTTCACGTTGCTCCTCCCATCTCTCCTCCTGTCACTCCCTTCACGTTGCTCCTCCCATCTCTCCTCCTGTCACTCCCTTCACGTTGCTCCTCCCATCTCTCCTCCTGTCACTCCCTTCACGTTGCTCCTCCCATCTCTCCTCCTGTCACTCCCTTCACGTTGCTCCTCCCATCTCTCCTCCTGTCACTCCCTTCACGTTGCTCCTCCCATCTCTCCTCCTGTCACTCCCTTCACGTTGCTCCTCCCATCTCTCCTCCTGTCACTCCCTTCACGTTGCTCCTCCCATCTCTCCTCCTGTCACTCCCTTCACGTTGCTCCTCCCATCTCTCCTCCTGTCACTCCCTTCACGTTGCTCCTCCCATCTCTCCTCCTGTCACTCCCTTCACGTTGCTCCTCCCATCTCTCCTCCTGTCACTCCCTTCACGTTGCTCCTCCCATCTCTCCTCCTGTCACTCCCTTCACGTTGCTCCTCCCATCTCTCCTCCTGTCACTCCCTTCACGTTGCTCCTCCCATCTCTCCTCCTGTCACTCCCTTCACGTTGCTCCTCCCATCTCTCCTCCTGTCACTCCCTTCACGTTGCTCCTCCCATCTCTCCTCCTGTCACTCCCTTCACGTTGCTCCTCCCATCTCTCCTCCTGTCACTCCCTTCACGTTGCTCCTCCCATCTCTCCTCCTGTCACTCCCTTCACGTTGCTCCTCCCATCTCTCCTCCTGTCACTCCCTTCACGTTGCTCCTCCCATCTCTCCTCCTGTCACTCCCTTCACGTTGCTCCTCCCATCTCTCCTCCTGTCACTCCCTTCACGTTGCTCCTCCCATCTCTCCTCCTGTCACTCCCTTCACGTTGCTCCTCCCATCTCTCCTCCTGTCACTCCCTTCACGTTGCTCCTCCCATCTCTCCTCCTGTCACTCCCTTCACGTTGCTCCTCCCATCTCTCCTCCTGTCACTCCCTTCACGTTGCTCCTCCCATCTCTCCTCCTGTCACTCCCTTCACGTTGCTCCTCCCATCTCTCCTCCTGTCACTCCCTTCACGTTGCTCCTCCCATCTCTCCTCCTGTCACTCCCTTCACGTTGCTCCTCCCATCTCTCCTCCTGTCACTCCCTTCACGTTGCTCCTCCCATCTCTCCTCCTGTCACTCCCTTCACGTTGCTCCTCCCATCTCTCCTCCTGTCACTCCCTTCACGTTGCTCCTCCCATCTCTCCTCCTGTCACTCCCTTCACGTTGCTCCTCCCATCTCTCCTCCTGTCACTCCCTTCACGTTGCTCCTCCCATCTCTCCTCCTGTCACTCCCTTCACGTTGCTCCTCCCATCTCTCCTCCTGTCACTCCCTTCACGTTGCTCCTCCCATCTCTCCTCCTGTCACTCCCTTCACGTTGCTCCTCCCATCTCTCCTCCTGTCACTCCCTTCACGTTGCTCCTCCCATCTCTCCTCCTGTCACTCCCTTCACGTTGCTCCTCCCATCTCTCCTCCTGTCACTCCCTTCACGTTGCTCCTCCCATCTCTCCTCCTGTCACTCCCTTCACGTTGCTCCTCCCATCTCTCCTCCTGTCACTCCCTTCACGTTGCTCCTCCCATCTCTCCTCCTGTCACTCCCTTCACGTTGCTCCTCCCATCTCTCCTCCTGTCACTCCCTTCACGTTGCTCCTCCCATCTCTCCTCCTGTCACTCCCTTCACGTTGCTCCTCCCATCTCTCCTCCTGTCACTCCCTTCACGTTGCTCCTCCCATCTCTCCTCCTGTCACTCCCTTCACGTTGCTCCTCCCATCTCTCCTCCTGTCACTCCCTTCACGTTGCTCCTCCCATCTCTCCTCCTGTCACTCCCTTCACGTTGCTCCTCCCATCTCTCCTCCTGTCACTCCCTTCACGTTGCTCCTCCCATCTCTCCTCCTGTCACTCCCTTCACGTTGCTCCTCCCATCTCTCCTCCTGTCACTCCCTTCACGTTGCTCCTCCCATCTCTCCTCCTGTCACTCCCTTCACGTTGCTCCTCCCATCTCTCCTCCTGTCACTCCCTTCACGTTGCTCCTCCCATCTCTCCTCCTGTCACTCCCTTCACGTTGCTCCTCCATCTCTCCTCCTGTCACTCCCTTCACGTTGCTACTCCTCATCTCTCCCTCCTGTCCACTCCCTTCACGTTTGCTCCTCCCATCTCTCCTCCTGTCACTCCCTTCACGTTGCTCCTCCCATCTCTCCTCCTGTCACTCCCTTCACGTTGCTCCTCCCCATCTCTCCTCCCTGTCACTCCTTCACGTTGCTCCTCCCATCTCTCCTCCTCGTCACTCCCTTCACGTTGCTCCTCCCATCTCTCCTCCTGTCACTCCCTTTCACGTTGCTCCTCCCATCTCTCCTCCTGTCACTCCCTTCACGTTGCTCCTCCCCATCTCTCCTCCTGTCACTCCCTCACGTGCTCACTCCCATCTTCTCCTGTCACTCCCTTCACGTTGCTCCTCCCATCTCTCCTCCCTGTCACTCCTTCACGTTGCTCCTCCCATCTCTCCTCCTGTCACTCCCCTTCACGTTGCTCCTCCCATCTCTCCTTCCTGTCACTCCCTTCACGTTGCTCCTCCCATCTCTCCTCCTGTCACTCCCCTTCACGTTGCTCCTCCCATCTCTCCTCCTGTCACTCCTCACGTTGCTCCTCCCATCTCTCCTCTGTCACTCCCTTCACGTTGCTCCTCCCATCTCTCCTCCTGTCACTCCCTTCACGTTGCTCCCTCCCATCTCTCCCTCCTGTCACTCCCTTCACGTTGCTCCTCCCATCTCTCCTCCTGTCACTCCCTTCACGTTGCCCTCCCAATCTCTCCTCCTGTCACTCCCTTCACGTGCTCCTCCCATCTCTCCTCCTGTCACTCCCTTCACGTTGCTCCTCCCATCTCTCCTCCTGTCACTCCCTTCCACGTTGGCCTCCTCCCATCTCTCCCTCCTGTCACTCCCTTCACGGTTGCTCCTCCCATCTCTCCTCCTGTCACTCCCTTCACGTTGCTCCTCCCATCTCTCCTCCTGTCACTCCCTTCACGTTGCTCCTCCCATCTCTCCTCCTGTCACTCCCTTCACGTTGCTCCTCCCATCTCTCCTCCTGTCACTCCCTTCACGTTGCTCCTCCATCTCTCCCTCCTGTCACTCCCTTCACTCTTTGCCTCCTCCCAGTCTCTCCTCCTGTCACTCCCTTCACGTTGCTCCTCCCATCTTCCTCCTGTCACTCCCTTCACGTTTGCTCCTCCCATCTCTCCTCCTGTCACTCCCTTCACGTTGCTCCTCCCATCTCTCCTCCTGTCACTCCCTTCACGTTGCTCCTCCCATCTCTCCTCCTGTCACTCCCTTTCACGTTTGCTCCTCCCATCTCTCCTCCTGTCACTCCCTTCACGTTGCTCCTCCCATCTCTCCTCCTGTCACTCCCTTCACGTTGCTCCTCCCATCTCTCCTCCTGTCACTCCCTTCACGTTGCTCCTCCCATCTCTCCTCCTGTCACTCCCTTCACGTTGCTCCTCCCATCTCTCCTCCTGTCACTCCCTTCACGTTGCTCCTCCCATCTCTCCTCCTGTCACTCCCTTCACGTTGCTCCTCCCATCTCTCCTCCTGTCACTCCCTTCACGTTGCTCCTCCCATCTCTCCTCCTGTCACTCCCTTCACGTTGCTCCTCCCATCTCTCCTCCTGTCACTCCCTTCACGTTGCTCCTCCCATCTCTCCTCCTGTCACTCCCTTCACGTTGCTCCTCCCATCTCTCCTCCTGTCACTCCCTTCACGTTGCTCCTCCCATCTCTCCTCCTGTCACTCCCTTCACGTTGCTCCTCCCATCTCTCCTCCTGTCACTCCCTTCACGTTGCTCCTCCCATCTCTCCTCCTGTCACTCCCTTCACGTTGCTCCTCCCATCTCTCCTCCTGTCACTCCCTTCACGTTGCTCCTCCCATCTCTCCTCCTGTCACTCCCTTCACGTTGCTCCTCCCATCTCTCCTCCTGTCACTCCCTTCACGTTGCTCCTCCCATCTCTCTCCTGTCACTCCCTTCACGTTGCTCCTCCATCTCTCCTCCTGTCACTCCCTTCACGTTGCCTCCTCCCATCTCTCCCTCCTGTCACTCCCCTTCCCGTTGCTCCTCCCATCTCTCCTCCTGTCACTCCCTTCACGTTGCTCCTCCCAATCTCTCCTCCTGTCACTCCCTTCACGTTGGCTCCTCCCATCCTCCTCCTGCACTCCCTTCACGTTGCTCCTCCCATCTCTCCCTCCTGTCACTCCCTTCACGTTGCTCCTCCCATCTCTCCTCCTGTCACTCCCTTCACGTTGCTCCTCCCCATCTCTCCTCCTGTCACTCCCTTCACGTTGCTCCTCCCATCTCTCCTCCTGTCACTCCCTTCACGTTGCTCCTCCCATCTCTCCTCCTGTCACTCCCCTTCACGTTGCTCCTCCCATCTCTCCTCCTGTCCACTCCCTTTCACGTTGCTCCTCCATCTCTCCTCCTGTCACTCCCTTTCACGTTGCTCCTCCCATCTCTCCTCCTGTCACTCCCTTCACGTTGCTCCTCCCATCTCTCCTCCTGTCACTCCCTTCACGTTGCTCCTCCCATCTCTCCTCCGTCACTCCCTTACGTTGCTTCCTCCATCTCTCCTCCTGTCACTCCCTTCACGTTGCTCCTCCCATCTCTCCTCCTGTCACTCCCTTCACGTTGCTCCTCCCATCTCTCCTCCTGTCACTCCCTTCACGTTGCTCCGTCCCATCTCTCCTCCTGTCACTCCCTTCACGTTGCTCCTCCCATCTCTCCTCCTGTCACTCCCTTCACGTTGCTCCTCCCATCTCTCCTCCTGTCACTCCCTTCACGTTGCTCCTCCCATCTCTCCTCCTGTCACTCCCTTCACGTTGCTCCTCCCATCTCTCCTCCTGTCACTCCCTTCACGTTGCTCCTCCCATCTCTCCTCCTGTCACTCCCTTCACGTTGCTCCTCCCATCTCTCCTCCTGTCACTCCCTTCACGTTGCTCCTCCCATCTCTCCTCCTGTCACTCCCTTCACGTTGCTCCTCCCATCTCTCCTCCTGTCACTCCCTTCACGTTGCTCCTCCCATCTCTCCTCCTGTCACTCCCTTCACGTTGCTCCTCCCATCTCTCCTCCTGTCACTCCCTTCACGTTGCTCCTCCCATCTCTCCTCCTGTCACTCCCTTCACGTTGCTCCTCCCATCTCTCCTCCTGTCACTCCCTTCACGTTGCTCCTCCCATCTCTCCTCCTGTCACTCCCTTCACGTTGCTCCTCCCATCTCTCCTCCTGTCACTCCCTTCACGTTGCTCCTCCCATCTCTCCTCCTGTCACTCCCTTCACGTTGCTCCTCCCATCTCTCCTCCTGTCACTCCCTTCACGTTGCTCCTCCCATCTCTCCTCCTGTCACTCCCTTCACGTTGCTCCTCCCATCTCTCCTCCTGTCACTCCCTTCACGTTGCTCCTCCCATCTCTCCTCCTGTCACTCCCTTCACGTTGCTCCTCCCATCTCTCCTCCTGTCACTCCCTTCACGTTGCTCCTCCATCTCTCCTCCTGTCACTCCCTTCACGTTGCTCCTCCATCTCTCCTCCTGTCACTCCCTTCACGTTGCTCCTCCCATCTCTCCTCCTGTCACTCCCTTCACGTTGCTCCTCCCATCTCTCCTCCTGTCACTCCCTTCACGTTGCTCCTCCCATCTCTCCTCCTGTCACTCCCTTCACGTTGCTCCTCCCATCTCTCCTCCTGTCACTCCCTTTCACGTTGCTCCTCCCATCTCTCCTCCTGTCACTCCCTTCACGTTGCTCCTCCCATCTCTCCTCCTGTCACTCCCTTTCACGTTGCTCCTCCCATCTCTCCTCCTGTCACTCCCTTCACGTTGCTCCTCCCAATCTCTCCTCCTGTCACTCCCTTCACGTTGCTCCTCCCATCTCTCCTCCTGTCACTCCCTTCACGTTGCTCCTCCCATCTCTCCTCCTGTCACTCCCTTCACGTTGCTCCTCCCATCTCTCCTCCTGTCACTCCCTTCACGTTGCTCCTCCCATCTCTCCTCTGTCACTCCCTTCACGTGCTCCTCCCATCTTCTCCTCCCTGTCAACTCCCTCACGTTGCTCCTCCCATCTCTCTCTGTCACTCCCTTCACGTTGCTCCTCCCATCTCTCCTCCTGTCACTCCCTTCACGTTGCTCCTCCCATCTCTCCCTCCTGTCACTCCCTTCACGTTGGCTCCTCCCATCTCTCCTCCTGTCACTCCCTTCACGTTGCTCCTCCCACTCTCCTCCTGTCACTCCCTTCACGTTGCTCCTCCATCTCTCCTCCCTGTCACTCCCTTCACGTGCTCCTCCCATCTCTCCTCCTGTCACTCCCTTCACGTTGCTCCTCCCATCTCTCCTCCCTGTCACTCCCTTCACGTTGCTCCTCCATCTCTCCTCCTGTCACTCCCTTCACGTTGCTCCTCCCATCTCTCCTCCTGTCACTCCCTTCACGTTGCTCCTCCCATCTCTCCTCTGTCACTCCCTTCACGTTGCTCCTACCCTCTCTCCTCCTGTCACTCCCTTCACGTTGCTCCTCCCATCTCTCCTCCTGTCACTCCCTTCACGTTGCTCCTCCCATCTCTCCTCCCTGTCACTCCCTTCACGTTGCTACTCCCATCCTCTCCTCCTGGTCACTCCCTTCACGTTGCTCCTCCCATCTCTCCTCCTGTCACTCCCTTCACGTTGCTCCTCCCATCTCTCCTCCTGTCACTCCCTTCACGTTGCTCCTCCCATCTCTCCTCCTGTCACTCCCCTTCACGTTGCTCCTCCCATCTCTCCTCCTGTCACTCCACTTCACGTTGCTCCTCCCATCTCTCCTCCTGTCACTCCCTTCACGTTGCTCCTCCCATCTCTCCTCCTGTCACTCCCTTCACGTTGCTCCTCCCATCTCTCCTCCTGTCACTCCCTTCACGTTGCTCCTCCCATCTCTCCTCCTGTCACTCCCTTCACGTTGCTCCTCCCATCTCTCCTCCTGTCACTCCCTTCACGTTGCTCCTCCCCTCCATCTCTCCTCCTGTCACTCCTTCACGTTGCTCCTCCCATCTCTCCTCTGTCACTCCCTTCACGTTGCTCCTCCCATCTCTCCTCTGTCACTCCCTTCACGTTGCTCCTCCCATCTCTCCTCTGTCCACTCCCTTCACGTTGCTCCTCCCATCTCTTCCTCCTGTCACTCCTTCACGTTGCTCCTCCATCTCTCCTCCTGTCACTCCCTTCACGTTGCTCCTCCCATCTCTCCTCCTGTCACTCCCTTCACGTTGCTCCTCCCATCTCTCCTCCTGTCACTCCCTTCACGTTGCTCCTCCCATCTCTCCTCCTGTCACTCCCTTCACGTTGCTCCTCCCCATCTCTCCTCCTGTCACTCCCTTCACGTTGCTCCTCCCATCTCTCCTCCTGTCACTCCCTTCGCGTTGCTCCTCCCATCTCTCCTCCTGTCCCCCCTCCTGTCCCTCCCCCCCTCCCTCGTCCCTTCTCTCCTCTCGTCCCTCGTACCCTCCCTCCTCCCATCCCTCCTCGCCTCCCTCCTCCTGTCCCGCCTCCCATCCCTCCTCGCCTCCCTCCTCCCGTCCCGCCTCCCATCCCTCCTCGCCTCCCTCCTCCTGTCCCGCCTCCCATCCCTCCTCGTCTCCCTCCTCCCGTCCCGCCTCCCGTCCCTCCTCGCCTCCCTCCTCACCTGCCTACCATACCATCATCCTCCCATTTCTGTCCGCCTATATCCCCCTCATCACATCACTCTGCATCGTCATAGTCGCAAGAACCACCACACTGCCGTCCGCTTGTCAACCCAATGCTGCTCAACGCTCCGCTTTCCACCATCTCTCTCCGCCCAACGCACCATCTCAACGCCTTTCCGTACCTCCCAGCCACCTCCCACCACCTCTGTCCAACTTACCCACCTCCCTCACCTCGTCCCACCTCTCCCCACCTCTCCCCACCTCTCCCCATTTCTCTACCTCTGCCCGCCTGTCCCTCCAGGCACTATGCGCTTAGTAGAGTGGTGCACGGAGCAGGGATGTCCCTCCCTCTCTCCTTCCCCTCCAACCCTGCTCATCCCACCACCACGGGTGCCGGTGCTCCTGCTGCTGCTCCTGCTAGTGCTGAAACGGCACCCAGCACCACCAGCATCAGCACTGATAGCAGGACCTCAGCTGCTGCTGCTGCTGCTGCTGCTCCTGCACCTGGTGCTTCCTCAGATGATGCTTTTGCTGGTACTGATGGTGCTAGTGCTCCTGCTGCTGCTGCTGCTGCTAGCTCAGGCATTGAAGATGCAGAGCAAGGGGAAGAAGCACTAGTAGCAGGGGCAGGGGCAGGGGCAGGGGCAGGGGCAGGGGCAGGGGCAGGGGCAGGGGCAGGGGCAGGGGAAGAGGCGTCTCGGGGAGACGCAATCGAGAGAGAGACATCAGGAGGTGAAGGTGGGGCGAGTGGGGTGGCTGGTTCTGTGGAGGGTAGCGGCAGCTGAGAGGCGGCTGGGTGAAGGATACTAATGTGGTTAGTATGGTGAATGAGGATGAGAGAGCATGTGAACAAGCATGAACGATACAGATGTGGCAAAATTTGGTCGGATTCAAGCCTGTCTGGTCTAGTAGTCTGGACGGTGGATGCTGGGGGGAAGGGGGAGGAGGGGGTTAACTGCTGATATAGCTAGCTAGTTGACTCTTGGATGCAGTGTGGTTTGGAGCTGTTGAAAGTGGTTTATGGTAGTGCATCTACATATTGTAAGTTGTGGTAACCAATGCATGACTGAGTTGGATTTGTAGATGCTGTATACATTCAAGTCATCTGTGAAACTGTCATTCAGATTATGGAAACTTGTGTGCAGCACCTGGAATCTATAACGGTATGGTACTGACGTCTCAACCTCAACCCCAAGAAATGAGCAGCACCTGTAATTGCCAGCAACAGGGATGGCAAACATGTGCTACTCTAGCCATCACCATTCTCGGCAATCAAGCAAACTATTGTTGTACAGTCATAGCAACTCAAGTTTCCAAAGAGCACTTCATGCAAACCCACTCACCACAGCATCACCAATCAACGGACACATAGAAAGCAAGAATGAAGGAACAAATGCAGAAAGCCAAGGCACAAATGCAGAAAGCCAAGGCACACAGAGAAACTATAACCAAATCTGCACCACCGAATCCCACCGTACCGCACCGCGCTAACCCAAGCAGACCCTCCCTAAAGCAAATCCCTAGTACGCCGCCCATCCCAACAGCTGAGCTGTACACTGCGCAATTGGCCCAGCCCTTTCAAATCAGTGTAAAACAATTACCTCCCAGCCGTAATCTTTGCTGTCGAGATTCCCTAGTTTCCGCTCCACCAGTTAGACACCCTCGGTCCCTTCCAGCCTGGCTTCTTTCCGGTTCCGGGCTTCTTCTTGGGAGGTCCGGTGGAGGTAGCGGCGGGAAGGGGCGCGTTGAGGTCTCGGATTTTCCCATTGAACTTCTTGTGGTAGAGAATCTGAGACAGTTCCGAATCTTCAGGGATAATATCAAAAGTGTTCTTCCACCAATCGCCGACATCCTTGCCGAAGTTGGATTCTGCCGTGGAGAGAGCAGCAGCCATAGCGCGCACCTGTTTCTGAGGCCCCACCCTGCGACGGCTACACGACATGAAATTCGGATACTTCTGATATATCATATCGGAGAGATTCGACACGCCGAAATCATCCCCGGTGAAATTATCAAACTTGAAGTAGGTCGGCGGGTAGTTAAACGACACCGAGGTGATGTTGTTGGTGGGCACGACAGACGGGAGAGCATCGCAGTTAATATAATACGGGTTCCAGCGGCCGTTGGTGCCATTGATGACAGTCAGCTCGATGTGGTTCAGCCCAGGCACGCCGCTGCACTTGCCCGTGTAATTGTAATCCGCGGAGCGCTGCTTACCCATGGTGGAATAGGAGAGGAACTGCGAGCAGTAGCCCGTCCAGTTCTTGGGAAGCTCGATCGGGGGGTCAGGGTTGCACGGCTGTCCCATCCACTCTGTGCGGTTGCAGAGGCCCGAAAGGAAGGGCCAGTTCTGATGAGGGGAGGGGAGGAGAGGGGGGCAGAGGGCCGGGGAACGGAGGGGGCAATAGAAATAAAACGGGGAGAAGAGTGAGTCGCACACAAAAAACCTAGTGAAGGGAGAAGTAAAAATAAAAAGTTAGTGGGGGGGGGGGGGAAAGGAAGGGGAGGTGCAGGTAAGCGGGGAGAATATTGAGGAGTTGGGAGGAAGGGAAGGTCGGAGAGTAGAGAAGGAACACGACCAGTTACCTACCACAAACTACGAAAGACAAAGTCGAGCAAGTCAAGCAGAGATACGGAGCCAATACCGACAGTGCTCGCTCAAAGATCCGGTGTCACATTCTCACCCCCATAACCAACCCAAAGACACTCTCCCATATGGCCCCATAACCACCACCAACCCCCCCCCCCCCCCACACACACACGCACACACGCACACACACACACAGACACACCTTGCGCCAGCCGGGAGTGTCAAAGCGAGCAACATAGGCGCTGTACCACTTGTAACCAAGACCGCGGCCGGCCCACGAGTTGCAGTTGTTGTCGCACCAGTTCTGACAGCTCATGATGCCTGACTGCCACTGCGGATTCACCACCAGGTAGCTCTGCACCTTGTTGCTGCTCGCACGAGGGACGAGGGCCGCGAGGAGAGGGCAGAGAGGGAGAGGGCACGAAGGGGAAGGGTAAGGCAACAGGGGAAAGCAGGGAGAAGGGGACCACCAGCACGTTGGGTAGGTTGAGTGGGTTGTTGGTGAGTTGGGTGAGGCGAGTGCAGGAAAAGGGGCGTAGAGGAGGCCGGAAGCCTATGGGCCAAGACGCAGAGCAACGCGCAAGAGATGAACGTGGAGGGAAGTGGGAGGGAGTGTGGGGAGAGGAGGGGAGGGGAGGAGGCAAGGCATTGGAGAGAGAGAGAAAGAGAGAGAGAGAGAGAGAGAGAGAGAGAGAGAGAGAGAGAGAGAGAGAGAAAGGGGGACTTAGCCTCTTCCCTCCTAGCCTCTTCCCCTTCCCCCAGCTATATAATGGCCAGCCGGCACCTTCCCTAGCTCATTATTCATTTGGTGATTCCAATTTTTCCGGTGCTCGTTTCGAGAGAGCGAGAGAGAAAGGGGGACTTAGCCTCTTCCCTCCTAGCCTCTTCCCCTTCCCCCAGCTATATAATGGCCAGCCGGCACCTTCCCTAGCTCATTATTCATTTGGTGATTCCAAATTTTCCGGCGCTTCGCGCCGGCGGCCTTCGGCCGCCGGCGCTCGCGTGCGCGGCCTACGGCCGCGCATTTTAGGAGGCAAGCTTAGGTAACGGGACAACTTTAGCAGACAGCATGGCGACAAACATCATCAACTAGCAGGCATCATGGAGAAGGTCTACACAAGACAAAGGGGGGCACCTACATGCGGTCCGCCCCCAGAAACGAGAGCATTCCGCGCGTGGTCTGCCACAAGTGGCGGACCACTGACACGCAGGCGGTTAGAGCATCTCCGGGTGTGCCTTCAACCGACCCTGCAATGTGCCTCAGATCCAGGGCCGCGCGAGCCAGCAGGTTGGCCGCGTCTGCACCCGGGGAGGGCGCTGCCTGCAGTGGCGCCAAGAGGGATAGGATCTCATCCGCCGCCCCCAAGCACGCTGCTTGCGGTTTCTCAGCAAATGTGCTCAGGCGGGATATCGGCATCGACGCACGAGTCGACCGGAGAACACGCGCCAGTGCCTCTAGGCACTCCGACAGTATCCACAGCTGACGCAGGGTCGCCGTGGAACATGAATACTCCGCCTCCTCAAGGCGAGGACGAGGGTCACGATACGGACCCCTTGCTGGGCCTCCGCCAGCGCCAACAAAACCCGGGAGAACAGGCGGCTGCTGGACAGAGCGCTGCGGGGACACCGCACGGTTGGCTACCTCGACAATGGCGGGAAGAGAACGAGGAGCGTCTGGCGGAACGGAGCGACAGGCTGTCGCCGCCTGCGACTCACGGAGAGCAGTTGCGAGCACGTCCGGAAGCCTCTCCAGGGTGCGCGCAAAGTCCGACGCAGACTGGCGACCCCCGCCCCCGCATCCGCGGCCCCCGCGACTGCCACGCCGCCCACGACTATTCGACCACGAGCGGGCTGGAGATTGGGGCCGGGACGTGCTGCGCGGGCGGAGCGCAGGGGATCGCTCACGACACGATGGAGAATGGCGCCGCTGGCGCTTCACCGGCGATTCGCGCGGAGAACGGCGAGCAGGAGAGCGACGCCCTGAGGATCGGCGCGCGGGTGAATGACAGCGAGGCGAATGGCGAGATTGGGAACGGTGACTTGGCGAACGACGCCCAGGGGAACGGCTGCGGCTCCCCTGACGACGAGGGGAGCGACGCTCGCGGCGATCTTCACGCCGCCCCTCGCAGCGTTCGTCACGAGGCTCAGGCGTCCGACGACGCGGAGAACGCCCCCGGTGCGGCTCCGCCAAGGCGCCAGAACGCACAGCGGACTCCGCGCGGGTTGCCACTCTCGGAGGCGAATCAGCGACGCGCGGACAGGGAGGACGGCGCTGGTCCTCAAATCGGCGCCGGATTTGGTCCGCAGCAGCGGGAGGACGAGCAGGAACGCTCACCGCCGGGCGTGGCGGAAGCACAGGTGCACTCTCCGCGGTACACTCGCGGTCGTGGGCGGACGGAAGCGCCATCTGCGCAAGCACAAGGCGCAATTCCAACACAAGGGGAGCCTACAACCCCGACTTTCCCCACGCAACAGGCGGCGCTAGCAGCAGGGACCCCCGCAGAGCGGACGGGGAAGCGCGCGGGGGAGAGGATCGCGACGAGGAGCGCGCGGAGGACAGAGGAGCGCAGGTCAAGCGGCGAGGGGGCGCGGGCGCCAACCACCGAGCCCAATCTGGCTAGGGGAGCCGGCGGAACGAATCACGCGGCAGTCGTTCGCTAGGCGCGGGGCGAGAGGTGGTGCACCAGCGCAAGCAGGGAGGAACGTCGATATCATCAGAGAGGCGA